CGAAAGGTTTTTTCGTTTTCGAGTTGCCTCGCAAGACGAATTTCCCTATGGGCTTGCTTCGCAAAACGAAGCTTGCCCCGGGGACAGCGGGTGCCCCACCGCCGGGCTCGTAGCGCTGCTGCGAAGCCGGGCCGGTGGGGGCCGGGAAACACCTGCCCCAGCCGCCAGGCTTCGTAAGCGCTGCTCCCGAAGCAGGGTGGGGGGCGGGAACACCTGCCCCACCGCCGGGCTTTCGTAGCGCTGCTGCAAAGCCGGGCGGGGCGGGAACACCTGCCCAGCCACCCCGCTTTTCGGGAACGCTGCTCCGAAGCGGGGTGGGGGGGTGGGAACAACCTGCCCAGCCCCGCCGGGCTTCCGTACGCTGCTGCCAAAGGCCGGGCGGGGGGGGCCGGGAACACCTGCCCCAGCCACCCCCTTCGGAACGCGCTCCGAAGGCGGGGTGGGGGGCGGGAAGCATACCTGCCCCAGCACGCCGGGCTTCGTTAGCGTCTGCTGCGAAGCCGGGCGGGGCGGGGAACACCTCCCAGCCACACCCGCTTCAAACGGCTGCTCCGAGCGGGGTAGTGGGGGGCGGGAACCCTGCCCATGCTGCCAGCGCTTACGGTAGCGCTGCTTGCGAAGGCCGGGCGGGGGGGGGGGCGGGAACACCTTCTGAAGGCGGGGGGGGGGCGAAAGTCTTTGTCCCCCTGCCTGCTTTCCCAGGGGCTTTTAAATCGCCCCGGACAGTGGAGGAGCTGTCCCGGGGCGATTTTAAAATGCCGCCCGCCAGCATTTTAAGATCGCCCGGACAGCGGAGAAGTCCTCCGCTGTCCCAGGGTTTTTTAAAATGCTGGGGGTGGGAAGAAAAGCCCTTGTCCCCCCCCCAGCCTTCAGAAGAGGTCCGGGGACAGTCTGTCCCCGGACCTGGTCTGAAGGCGGTTTCCCTAGGAACGCATTAATTGATTTCGTCTTGCGAGGCACCACTGTATTTGACTTTAGTGTGCGGAGTGGTGGAAAAGGTCATCTGAATGACCATTAACTCAAAAAAACATTGCAAGACAGGGCCTGCCATTGCCACAGCAGAGCCTGGATAAGGAGATAAAGACCATTGATTTTTGCGTCAAATTATCTTGCCTGAACTGGGTCATCGGAGTGTTTTACGCATGGGGCTCATGCTGAAAGTCACAGTGTCAACACAGTCACTAGGGCCAGCTGATAGAGGGCTTGCCAGTGTGTTGTTCTGCAAAGGTTCCTGGACATAGGGCACTCTTTTATCCACACACCCCTCTTTTCCCATCCCTCCTTTTTATCTTGCTAATCCACCACATGAAATCTTATTGGGGGCATGCTTCTAGCCTTGTTTACTGGCTCCCTGCAAACTTCGATCCCCCCCCCCATGCATGCCTGTTTTCTCCTACCCTTGGCACAGAACTTAATTTCGGAGGAGGATAGACAAAGGGGTTGTTGAGTCCAGTCCACTTTCTGTGAGGCAAAAATCACAGATCTTCCACACTTTAGACCACCTTGTCCCCGTCCCCCCCCCCGCAACAGCTGTAACCAGGAAACAGAACAAATAGCAAAAAGTGACGGGTGTAAGCAAGCCAGCTAGACACTTGCATTAGTAGAGAGACCCAGAAGCTTTGGATCAGCCTTGAGAGATGTGGAATAAAAGCAAGGAAGAGAGTGTATGTTGTGTAATGCTGTGCCTGTTGTTGTTGTTGCAAGCTTGCAGTGTCCAGGGGTGGGGGAAATAGGTTCATAAGAATGTAAGAAAGAGCGCTGCTGGATTGGCCAGCGGTCCAATCCTGTTCTCACAGTGGCCAACCAGGTGCCCGTGGGGGAGACACACAAACAGGACTCTTCCCTCCTGTGTTCCCCTTGTGTACACACGAGCTCATATTGCAGCAGAAGCCCTTGAAGGAAGACGCTTACCAGAATGCATTGGGCTTTTGAACATTTCTACTCTTCAGGAACAAACCTTCTAATTCAGTATCAAGTTGGGGCGTACTGCTTCCCCCCCTTGTTTCGTAAGTTTGGTGCTGTACCCACCTCCCCGTCTTCACCCCCCACCCCGTTTTCTATTTTGCTTTGCAGGCTTGGTTCAGAATCTAAATAAATGCTAAATAAATGTGAGAACAAGCATTCATTAATCCCCAGGTTTCCTTTTCTTCCACCCCTCTTTCCCCCATGCTGCCTTTCTCACCTCTCTCGGTTGACTGCCACTCTTTCTTCCTCCCCCTCCTTTCTGCGAGCAGCTGTTGTTTGGCTTCCTCTATATTTAGTCCCTGACTTCTTTGTCGTCTTTTGTGGCTTTCCCCCCTCCCCTCCCCTCCTCCCCACCCTCCTGTTTATAATTATGACAGAACCCCAGAAAAGGAGGAGGAGGAGGAGGCGGGTTTTGCTTGGTGAAATGGTTCGTCAGCTGCTTGTTGCAGAGGCCCCTTACTTATCCTTGCTGCAGTGCCCCTTTCTTGCTCTGTTCTTCTGGGGAGGGTGAAACGGCTTGCCGGGGGGGGGGAGTGTATGAATGTCATAATCGGAGGTGGGGCTAGGGCCCCATGTCATGTACGCGCGCACATTCACAAGCACGCACGTGTGACTTCATATTAAAAAGAAATAAACAGCGCATGCTTTTTTACAACAGCCTGCAAGGAGTGGAAGCGGAGGGTACGCATCTGATGAGTCACGAAAGGCCTTGTTCATTCACAGTGTGCCAAAAAAACGGCTGCGGGTGACTCAGATCTGGTGCCTGGGACAGAAGAATGGTGGCGGCAGCGATGGTGATTTGGGGGGGAGGGTGGAAAGGCCTGCGCAAGATTGGGAAATGCCACAGAGGTGCTGCTTTGTGATGGTGCTTCTTCCCCACCACCCCAAAAAAGGAAGGGGAAAGAAAGAGGTACTGAGGCCTAAGATCTGTACCATCTGTTTGGAAAGCCTTCCTCTTTATCCGAGATGATTGCAGGCTTGCTGTGATGGAAGGGTGCTTTGCACATGCCCAGCGGCACACGTTGGTTCACAGTCCTGCAGGGCTGAATCACAGCACTGGGAACTAGCTTCTAAGTATAAGCTCCAGTGTACCCTGGCTGAAACACAACCGTATGCATGCCAGAGTAGTCCCGGATTTGAAAACAAGCACTGCTGTGTAGTGCCTCTGTTTACTCATGCGCAGAGCATGTGATTCCTGAAGTTGATGCATTCTGGGGGCTGATCTCTGACATTCCACATAACTTGAGGTGGTTGAGTGTAGGCTGCACTCTCCACATGGATGGCATCCCATCATCCCCCCAGGATACTTCCTTGCCAATAGTGTTTTGTGGGGTTCAGATGTGGCTGGTCTGTGGGCACACGCTAGCTTTTGAAAGCTTCCTCCTGCAATGTTATCCCCACCCCCCAGTCACCTGGGACTTCCTTCTCCACCTCTGTAGTGGTTAAGAGCAGTGGACTCGTAATCTGGTGAACTGGGTTCGATTCCCCGCTCCTCCACATGCAGCTGCTGGGTGACCTTGGGCTAGTCATACTTCTTTGAAGTCTCTCAGCCCCACTCACCTCACAGAATGTTTGTTGTGGGAAAGGAAGCGAAAGGAGAATGTTAGCCGCTTTGAGACTCCTTAGGGTAGTGATAAAGCGGGATATCAAATCCAAACTCCTCCTCTTCTTCTGTGCAGGCAGATGCACAGCCTTGGCAGTCTTAGTTGATGTTTGGACGGACTAAGGCAGTTCAGGTGCAGCAGCTGAAACAGGAGCATACCCTGGCATTGGATGGGCCAGGTGCCTAAAGGTCATGGCAGTGCTTTGCTTTAAAAATGGAGGTGCTGGTAGAGACGTCTGTGGAGAAGGCCCCACAGCCTCCTAGCTTGCTTCCATCTGATATTTCTAAGCCAAGAAACACCTGAGCAGTGGCAGCAGAAGTAATCAGGAGGAAAACTCCTGCTGTCATGCCATTAGAGCTCCACTCAAGCAGAATAAGCAAGAGAGTTTCCAAAATCTGGTTTACCAGATTTAGGAGTAAATAGTGCACCAGCAGTCCTCCAACCTGGTGCCCTCCAGAAGTTCTGAACTACAACTCACAGCATGGCCAGTGGTTCCATGGCAGTCTGGAAACTTGAACAAGAGCACTTGGTGTTGTTTTGCTGTTGTTATTTAGTCATTTAGTCATGTCCGACTCTTCGTGACCCCATGGACCAGAGCACGCCAGGCACTCCTGTCTTCCATTGCCTCCCGCAGTTTGGTCAAACTCATGCTGGTAGCTTCGAGAACACTGTCCAACCATCTCGTCCTCTTCTGCTTGTGCCCCCCATCTTTCCCAACATCAGGGTCTTTTCCAGGGAGTCTTCTCTTCTCATGAGGTGGCCAAAGTATTGGAGCCTCAGCTTCAGGATCTGTCCTTCCAGTGAGCACTCAGGGCTGATTTCCTTCAGAATGGAGAGGTTTGATCTTCTTGCAGTCCATGGGACTTAAGAGTCCATGCTGGAATGTAATGCTACAGGCATTATGTTTATTAGAACTTTTCACAGAACTAGAGCAGCCTAGATCACTGGTCTCCAGCTGATCGTGGGGAAGGGGGACCCCCAGTGGGTTGCGCCCTGATCTGAGGTGGGTTGCGACAGGAGCCCTACCACCAGCGGTGTTTTTTTCTGGGGGGTACTCAAGGACACACAGTACTGGCACCTTTCCCCCCTAGAAGAAAAGCATTGATAACCACCATGTGAACATTTAGGGTAAAAGATTTAAGAAATGGATCGCCGAATGCATGCTTTGGTGGGTTCTAGGTCTGAACAGGCTGGAGAGACCTGGCCTAGATCATGACAGCTGGCAAATCATTTTTTGGCTTCCGGAGCGCATGAAATGGTTGGGCAGGCTGCGTGTATCTGGTTGGACAGAAACGGCCTCTATTTGCTCCCTTAAAAAAGCAACACACACACTGCCGCCGCTGCCACCCCATGATCTCAGCCCCCATTGTTGTGTAGAGATTGCACCGCTGCAGCCATTGTCCCTCTTCTCTCTCTCTCTCTCATCCCCAGCTGTGGACTTGAAACCGGTACTTCCTGTGGTGATGCAGAGCTCTTGCAACAGCAGCAGCAGCAGCACCAGCCCGGTGGACTTGCGGATGGATGCCCGGCCCAGCTTGCCCACTGTGGACCCAGCCATCCGGGAGCAGCAACTGCAGCAGGAACTGCTGGCCCTGAAACAGCAGCAACATTTGCAGAAGCAGCTGCTCTTTGCCGAGTTTCAGAAGCAGCACGAGCACCTCACGCGGCAGCACGAAGTCCAGTTGCAGAAGCACCTCAAGGTAACCTGGAGGTGAACCCGGGAAGATTCTCGGCCACGTAGTCCGTACGCCTCGCTCAGCGCCACCCATTCTGACTGGGAGCATCTCTCCCGGGCCCCCAGCCCTGCAGAAATCCTTTCAGGTGGAAATGTTTGGGCACAGCACCAGGGACTGCGTACCACAGAGTGAGAACCACTCCTGCATACCAATGACCCTGTTTCTCTTTCTCCACCCAAGCCCAGGTGTACCAGTGGGTTCTGCTGGAACGTGGGTGGGAAACCTTTCCATGAGGGCCACATTTCCCTCAGGGTAGCCTGCCAGGGGCCACAGGCTGGTTGGGGTGGGGAAAAGGCTGAAGCCAGTGGGTATGGTTCTTCTCCCCCCCCCCTCACTTAATGCTGCCTCTCTAACCAAGTTTGCAGTGCCTGCTGTTCGTTTATTCATAAGGTTTCTACCCTGCCTTTCTGAATCCACATTAAGGCAGTTTGCATAAATTGAAATCCAGCTTACCTACTCAAGACTCTTCTGAATTGAAAAGCTTTCACTGGTTTCTGATGGGCAGGTGCTGCGATTTGTTGCTGCTTCATGGAGCCAGTGTGGTGTAGTGGTTAAGAGTGGTAGACCCGTAATCTGGTGAACCGGGTTCACGTTTCTGCTCCTCCACATGCAGCTGCTGGATGACCTTGGGCCAGTCACACTTCTCTGAAGACTCTCAGCCTCACTCACCTCACAGAGTGTTTGTTGTGGGGGAGGAAGGGAAAGGAGAATGTTAGCCGCTTTGAGACTCCTTAGGGTAGTGATAAAGCGGGATATCAAATCCAAATTCCTCCTCCTCTTCTTCGGTTGCTATTGTATTGACGCTGTCGGTGTGCGCTGTACAACAACTCCCAGCATCCTTGGCCATTGGCCACGCTGCCTGGGGCTGATGGGAGTTGGAGTCCACACAACACCTGAAGGGATGCTTGTTAACTGTAGAGGATGGGGGCTAAGGGTTTTGAGGAAGGGACCTTGCTGCCGCATATTTATGTTGCTTGTCTCTGTTTCCCCTGTTTAGTATAGCTCTGTTAGTATTTGATTGTTGCACCTTAGGCGATTTTATTGCTTTTCGTTTGCGGCTTGCAGTATGTCCTCCTAGGTACCCTTGTGGGTTGCCAAGCAGTTGGTATAATAAATGGCCACCAGTTGTATAGACTTGGGGGCAAAGGGCTGCCAAAATGATCCCCTGAAATGTGGGTGGGAATGGAGCGGCTACCCTAGGAAGAAGCAGTTTGGAACGTTTTAGTTCAGAGAAAAGGCGAGTAAGAGGCAATATAATATAAGTTTATAGAATGATGCATGGCAGGGAGAAAGTGGAACTAAAACTCATGGACATTCAATGAAGCTAAATGTTGGAAGATTTAGGACTGGGTCATTCCATGTCAGTTCAACACAGTCATGCCACCCACGGTCTTGGATTTTGATGAAACTTGGTGTACACCCTTCCCTTATGGTTGAAAGAACCCCCCTTAAATTTCCCCCCTCTATCTCAAACGGTTTTAATTTTATAGCACTTCAAAGTTTCGTGAAATCTGTGTTTCTGTCCCTCTTGAGATCCTTGGTCTTGTGTGCATTTTAATTTTTTTCTCCATAACCAATGATCAGATTTCTTTGAAATTTTACACAGAGCTCAATAAGATGATGAGGATTTCAGAGAAAAATACACCAGCACTCAAAAGATTTGATAAATGCCTAAAAAAATGTATAAATGTAGTTTTTTGGGTGGAAAAATGAGGTTTAGAAAACCTAAATTTTCAGCATGAGGGCACGATGGAATCAAAAGTTTTTGATGGTGAAAATTCTTGCAAAGACATGCTCTTTCTCAACAAAGAATAAAATTTATGGGTCTCTTATGTCGTCTAACAAAATTTTACGTTTTTTGGACATCTTGGGGGGAAAATGGCTACTGGGTACAACTTTACTACAATCCATAGCTGTAATAGAAAAAATTAATGAAACAAAGTTGTTCATCTAAAATAATATTGGTTATTACAGGTGGGGTTTTCCCCCAAAAGTTCAGGCTTGTTTTTCAGTTTGGCGTATTTAAAACTATGAAAATTGGCTATATCGTGAAATCAATCTAAAAGAAAAACAAAAAACGGTCAGAAACTTTAAATGCTGACATGTAAGGAAATAAGACCTAGCAAGAAAAAGATTAAAAGAATGTAAAATTATGCATTATATTCAATGATGAGGGTGTATACCAAGTTTCATCAAAATCCGAGATGGTGGGTGGCGAAACCCTTGTTTTTTGTGTTGATTTGATGTGGAATGACCTGACTGATAGGCAGCACATAGTCAAAATATGGAGGCAGTGATGGCCACCATCTTGGTAAAGGTAAAGGAACCCCTGACCATTAGGTCCAGTTGTGACCGACTCTGGGGTTGCGGCACTCATCTCGCTTTATTGGCTGAGGGAGCCGGCGTTTGTCCGCAGACAGCTTCCGGGTCAGCGCACGGAAACGCCGTTTACCTTCCCGCCGGAGCGATACCTATTTATCTACTTGCACTTTGACGTGCTTTCAAACTCTAGGTTGGCAGGAGCAGGGACCGAGCAACAGGAGCTCACCCCGTCGCGAGGATTTGAACCGCCGACCTTCTGATCGGCAAGTCCTAGGCTCTGTGGTTTAACCCGCAGCGCCACCCACATCTCTTCCATCATCTTGGAGATGCCTTTAAAAGAGGGTTAGACAGCTATACAGAGAAGAGAGCTGTTGAAGGCTACTAGCCACAATGGCCATGCCCTGCCTCCAACCTTTGCTTCTCAATACCAGTTGCTGGAAGCCACGAGAGAGGAGAGTGCTCTTGTGGTTTCCCACAGACATCATCAGGTTGGCCACTGTGAGAATAGGATGCTGGACTAGATGGGCCCGTGGCTTGACTCAGCAGGCTGTTCTTACGTTCTTACGTTATGTTCATTCATTCGTTGTAGATTGCGTTTTGCCTATGCTCGAGAATACAGATTACTAGAAACGATGAATCACGCACACTGCTTTCATACTTGAAGGAGCATAAGGGGGGGGGGATCATGCCTTTCAACTAGAGCTGACTTGGAAAGCGGTGACTAACACACTGCCATTGTGCGGTGGTAACAATAAGCCCTAGTCTAGAGCTATGAGAAGGAGCCTACGTAAGCTTCAGGCTTGCATTCTTCCCTCTCTTCTGATTTGGCCGCGAGGAGGAATGTAGGAACCCCCTGGTTTTAAGCTAACAGTGGTTATGTCCCAGCAGGGACTGTGCTTAGTTTTAACCATGGTTTGTCGAATCAACTCGGCTTCAAGCCGTCGTTAACACTCGTGGCAGTGTGAGGCTCTCTCAGGTTCATTCTCATAACACTAAACATTCTCATAACATGTGATTGTCTCCTCTCAAATTGTTCTTTATAAGAGAGAGCAACCACACAAAGTCCCCAATCTGCACAAAGTCCCCAGTCTCTCCCCTTTCACCCCCCCTACATCATTTCAGTGCCAAATTCTCCCCCTGCATTGAAACTGTTATTTGCTTCCAAAAGTGCCATTGCAATTGGCACCTATGGGAGCAAATACAGTGGTGCCCCGCAAGACGAATGCCTCGCAAGACGGAAAACCCGCTAGACGAAAGGGTTTTCCGTTTTGGAGGTGCTTTGCAAAACGAATTTCCTATGGGCTTGCTTCGCAAGACGAAAGTGTCTTGCGAGTTCCTGCAGGGTTTTTTTCCTCCCCCCCCTTTTTCCCAAGCCGCTAAGCCGCTGATCCGCTAAGCCGCTTAACAGCTGATCGCTAAGCCGCTTATCAGCTGATCCGCTAAGCCGCTTATCAGCTGATCCGCTAAGCCGCTTATCAGCTGATCCGCTAAGCCCGCTAAGCCGCTAATAGTGCTAAGCTGCTAATGGGCTTGCTTCGCAAGACGAAAAAACCGCAAGACGAAGAGACTCGCGGAACGGATTCTTTTCGTCTTGCGAGGCACCACTGTAGCAGCCAGGGAGGAATTTGGCAGGAAAAATCAGGTTGGAGTGGGTGGGTAAGACCCAACCACCTCTACTTGTGTCTCACAGTCCTGATCTGGATTCTTCACACTTTTTTGCAGCTGTTAATTCTTTTTTAAAAAAAGAAAAAAAGGGGGGGGAGAAAGCACAAGAATAACATGGAACCTTCCCAGGATAGGATGCTTATTTTTATTTAAGTTTTAATTGATCTGTTGGTTTTGCAACATTTATATTTTGCCTTTCTGCCCAGCAAAGGCAGCTGACAGCAGTAAACAAAGCAGAAAAGGGCCGGGTTCAACAAAACAATTGCACAACAAGAGCTGGCACAATAACTCCTGCTAGTGCAACGGGGCTTCCTGCCCCCTCTACACCCCCTCCCCAGATCAGCTCTGTGGGAGAACCCCCAGAACAGCATGCAGTGAGAAGGGAGGGGAGATAGTTCTGTTTGGCAAGCGGAAATGCTTGCGCTGGTGGCAAAACTGGCTCCATATTGAATTCCTCCCACAGCCTATAACAAGCAGGCAATAAAGCAGCTAATAAAGATTGTGCAAGAGGGATTCCAGCACCGGCAGCTAATGAAATCAACTGCCACTAAACCAAAACACCCTCCTGAGAAAGCAGTGTGCGTGCTGAGCTTCCAAAAACCAGGGTGCGAGGGAACAAAATGGATTTCCCATAGAAGGGCGTAGAGGTGCCACTACGGAGAAGGCCCTGTTTTTAGTACAGGAGGCAGAGCCTCAGGGGAAGAAGACCTGAGTGATTGGATTGGCACACGTGGGAATGAGCAGAATTTTGAGGGTCGCTTTTGCAGAGGCGTTAGCAAGGCTCCGTAGAAAGCCCCTGGACTACAGTATTGGAAGTCTGCATCAAAAGATTGCACATGTTTATGTCTGGGTTTTGCATGCGAAGGCCGGCAAGGGTGGGTGGGGGGCAAACACACAGTCCCCTGCAGTCCCACTAACTCCCTCCCCATCTCCCCTCTGCAGCAACAGCAGGAGATGTTGGCAGCAAAACGCCAGCAAGAACTGGAGCAGCAGCGTAAGCTAGAACAGCAGCGGCAGGAAGAGCTCGAGAAGCAGCGGCTGGAGCAGCAGCTACTTATTCTACGCAACAAGGAGAAGAGCAAAGAGAGTAATAAATAGATACATATTTATATTTGTATTGAGTTGCGTTGGTTAAACTTGGTATGCTGAGGACTTGGAGGATTTCACACTTTCCCAAAGCAGCACAGTAGAAAGAATAAAATACAGCATGGGTAGGCAAACTAAGGCCCGGGGGCTGGATCCGGCCCAATCGCCTTCTAAATCTGGCCCACGGGCAGTCCGGGAATCAGCGTGGTTTTACATGAGTAGAATGTGTGCTTTTATTTAAAATGCATCTCTGGGTTATTTGTGGGGCAAAGGAATTTGTTCTTTTTTTCCTTTTTTTCAAAATATAGTATGGCCCCCCACAAGGTCTGAGGGACAGTGGACTGGCCCCCTGCTGAAAAAGTTTGCTGACCCCTGAAATACAATTAAAATTGCCTCTGTTTTTCTAGAAAAATAGGTGCCAGAACTCACCATGAATGCCCTTCATCTTCTCTTAGAATGGCAATAGCGCTCACCTGAGAGGTGTCTGAATTGAGTTCTGGCGAGTTCTGGCTGAAAAAAAACCCCTGTGATAAGTGAACAATTCTAAAAGTATCATTCTAGATTTAGCTTCCATGCCTCCATATGCCTTAGGAATAGTTGAATGAAGGGCTGGTCACCCCATGCAAAAGCCCTTTGAACTGTGGTTTTAATGAAGAGGGTTGTGAATTTCTGCAATGGAATTTATAGCAGCCTCACAAACCTGTGGTTCCCAAGGTTATTTAGGAGGAGCCTCAAACAGTCTTGCTTGAAGAGGTGAAAATTAGTGTGGCTGCTTAAGAACCTATTCAGAATGCTGCTCTGTCTGTGGTACATATTTATATTTTGAATATGGCTGGTTCACAAGAAGCCATCAATGCATCTGATTTGGCCCTTATAGATTGACGTTTTGACAAATAAATCAACAACAGTGGAGCTTTCCAGGGACATCTCAGTGACACAGCCGCATAGACAATCCCCACCTGTGGCAAAGGAGAGGTGTTTTTTTCCAATCATGTGCTTGATTGAGGTGGAGAGGATTGCAAACTAAAAGGGCAGCCTAGAGGGTGAGGTGAGAAGGGCAGTTATCCCAGAATACAGTGCAATAGTGAAGCATTGCATTATGGGAAATAGTGTGCTGGATATTACCATTGCCATGGGGATATATACCTTGCACTTGTGGGGAGTGCAGTGTGGAAGTTGGATAGCTCTGGAATTCTGGAATTTAAGGAGTCTTTCATACTGGTAGACCATACTTTCTTCTGCTGGATCAGTAAACCATGGTTTATTGGACCAAGAACAAGGAAGTGTGCCTGCAGGCTGCCTCCTCCTCTTCTCGTGTGCCACAATGCAGCATTTCAGAGGCTTATCCAACCATAGTTTCTTGCATCAATACTGGGAAACTGTGGTTTATTCTCCAACTAGAAACCAGGGAATTAAAGGCAAATGGTTTGTAGTCAGAGATTAAACCACAGTTGTGTGTGCATAAGCACAACTCTCATTCTTAGTCTAATGAATCATGGTTTCTGGGATAGAAAGTCCCAGAAGGGTTTATCCACGAGTGTTTTCCTAACTCTTCCACAGGTGCCATTGCCAGTACCGAAGTGAAGCTGAAACTTCAGGAGTTTCTTCTCAGCAAGTCTAAAGAGCCAGCAACAGCAGGCGGCTTGAACCATTCCCTCCCTCAGCACCCCAAATGCTGGTAGGTCTTACCACCTTTGCCTCTGGGCATTCATGCCGGGTCTAGGACAGGACGTCGGTGGGGTGAGATTTTACCACTGGAACAAATGTAGTAATCTCAAGAGAGAAGGCGCAAAGTCTATGTTGCGGCATCTGGGAGACTCCCTTTTCCTTCCACACGTCTCTCTCCAGTTTGCCGAAAATTTGACTGGTGTGTGTGTGTATAGGGGGCTTGCATGTTTGTTTTCCTCGGCGGATAGTAGTGGGTGGATAGAGTGACACTTTGACCATCCAGTAGCTACCCTGATTGAGAGTACAATGTTATGCTAAGGGGTACGTTTCCGAGTACGTTTCCGAGCACAATTCAAAGTGTTGGTGTTGACCTTTAAAGCCCTAAATGGCCTCGGCCCAGTATACCGGAAGGGGCGTCTCCAACCCCATCATTCTGCCCAGACACTGAGGTCCAGTGCCGAGGGCCTTCTGGCGGTTCCCTCACTGCGAGAAGCAAAGCTACAAGGAACCAGGCAGAGGGCCTTCTTGGTAGTGGCGCCCGCCCTGTGGAACGCCCTCCCATCAGATGTGAAAGAGATAAACAACTACTTGACATTTAGAAAACATCTGAAGGCAGCCCTGTTCAGGGAAGTTTTTAATGTGTGACATTTTGATGTATTTTTAATCTTTGTTGGAAGCCGCCCAGATTGATTGGAGAAACTCAGCCAGATGGCGGGGAACAAATAAATTATTATTATTGTTATTGTTATTATTGTTATTATTCAGCATGTACCCTTAGTAAATGGAACCAAGGGTGTGATAGACAGCCCTGCTTTTAAAAGGAAGAACCTTGTGCATAGACCTTCAGTTATCTTATCTTAAAGAGCTTTAAAAGGGGGGTGAGATAAATTTGTGGAGGGTCAGGCTATCAATAGCTGCTTGTCATGATTCCTGTATGGTACCACCCTGCCTATGAATTTAATCCACTGTGGAATAACAGCAGGAGAGGGCAATTGCATTAATGCCTTGCTTCTGGGCTTCCCAGAAGCCTCTGGCTGGCCAGTGCAGGAAACAACATTAAGGGCTAGATAGGCCTCTGGTCTGATCGCAACAGTGCTGCTCTTCTGTTAATTACATGTGCAAATTATACCTGCTCAAGGCGAGCTGCTCCTGTTGTCTCTCCAAGAGCTGATTTAGCTGTGATGGAGCATCTCCACATCTCTCTGTTGCCCAGAATAGAATTTTCACATCCCTCCTCCACTCCAAGCCAGGAGGTTGGTGTGTGTGTGTGTGTGTGTGTGTGTGTGTGTGTGCAGGCGCGCGAACACAAAGGCAAGTATTCTATTTCGGGCAGTGCAGAGATGTGGGGGAACAGGAAATGTGAGGCACCCATGTGCTTCCTCTTCTGTCCAAAACACCATCGCACTGGAAAGCGTCAGAACATCCCCATCGTAAACTGTGTAGCCACCAGCCAAGTCAAATTTCTCGAGAGAACCATCAATTTCGTCGCAGGGATGATAGCTCAGTTCCCAACCCAGCTGCTCTAAGTTATGACTTTACTTGCCTCTAAGCCCTCCCCCTAAGGATACCTGTTAATGAAAGTTTCTGTCTCAGATGGTTGTTTCATAGAGAGCACCACAGACAAGAGAGTGGGTTTTGGGGCCAAGGAAGTGAGCAGGTTCGAGGGAAACACCTCAATGAGAAATGGGCCTGTGTGCTGTTGGTGTCAAGGGACATTGGGGACACGAAAAGGGATGAGGGTTAGATATTAATCCAAATACAGTGGTACCTCAGGTTACAGACGCTTCAGGTTACAGACTCCGCTAACCCAGAAATAGTACCTCGGGTTAAGAACTTTGCTTCAGGATGAGAACAGAAATCGCATGGTGGCAGCAGGAGGCCCCATTAGCTAAAGTGGTACCTCAGGTTAAGAACAGTTTCAGGTTAAGAATGGACCTCTTAATCTGAGGTACCACTTAATCTGAGATACCACTGTACTGTAATGAGTCGACTGTGAGGCGGCTGGTCTTGAATTTAGCCATATAACTATCAAAGCATGAAGCATCCATAAACTCCCTGGGAGTTTGTTGGCATCCATCTGTCTTGATATACAGTGAAGTGTGTGTCTCCAGTAGTCAAAACTGCTGGAGAACCGCAGCGCCTTTTTTTATGTGTTAGCAGCACCAAAGTGACCTCCCCCGGGGTGCAAGCCTGGGCAGTTTGTGGAAGTCCTGTGCTGCCCAGATGGCCAGACCCCCTTTCAACCTCGTTTATATGGTCCAAAGGAAAGCAGAGCAATACGCTGGGTGCCAACTCGACCGCAGGAGTTGCCAGAAGGAGGCATACAAGACACCATCCAACTGCCTTAGGGACTCCACTCCAGATATGTGTAGGGTTTACTCCTTAACCTTTTCTTCTCCCGAATATGTCCCTAGAACAGGGGTCAGCAACCTTTTTCAGCCGTGGGCCGGTCTACTGTCCCTCAGACCATGTGGTGGGCCGGACTTTTTTTGGGGGGGGGAATGAACGAATTCTTATGCCCCACAAATAACCCAGAGATGCATTTTAAATAAAAGCACACATTCTACTCACGTAAAAACACCAGGCAGGCCCCACAAATAACCCAGAGATGCAGTTTAAATAACAGGACACATTCTACTCATGTAAAAGCATGCTGATTCCCGGACCGTCCACGGGCCGGATTGAGAAGGCGATTGGGCCGCATCCAGCCCATGGGCCTTAGGTTCCCTACCCCTGCCCTAGAAGCTGTCAGCATGTGACAGTGGCCACACCCCAGGGAGTAGTGGAGAGCAAACGAATCATTCTGAGCTTCCCCTCCATCTGACTCTATCCTTCTCTTGAGTCCTCGCCATTCTTAGTAGTGGTGTTGGCAGCAGGGAGTCACACACTTTTCCGTTTCCCCACCCTGACCTATAAAACTGACCCCATCCTGCCCTCTCTCCCCTAGGCCTTGCTTGCCCTCTGACTTATTCCACCTGCAACTTCTGCCTACTGATAACCCACTGAATTTCCTGGACCATGGATGCTTAGAGCGCTAATCCATTTAGCCTGCTTAGAACAGATCACAGATGGACCATTATCCCTTCCCCCACCCTCCCAGTCACCCACAGTGGATATTCTTATCTCACCTCTTGAGGTCACCCCCCCCCAAGTCCCTTTAACCTACATTCAGGAATAGAATCCTGACTTGACTGTTGTCAACTTTATGGATGGCAGAAAGACAAAGAAATGCTGTGTCTATTCACACTCCTGGCCTCTCTTTTTGTTAAATTTTTTTGGGTTGCATTTCCACTCTGCCCCATCAAAAGAAACCTTACTGATCAAGCAAGATAAGCCATTAAGATATAAAATACTTTATACCATAACGTAGCAAATCAAAACTTCCGCAAAGCCTGTTTTTTAAAAGCCAGTCCGAAGAAACATTTCTGCAAAATGCTCAGATGTATACTTTTGAAAGACTTTCAGTGGCAGGGAGTCATAGAAGATTCAAAATATGAGGGCAAGCTATATTTTATTGGGCTGTTCTTACATTGGTTGTAGTAGGAGTGTATGAGCTTTCTGATGCCATAGGCGCCTTAATCATGCTGAATGGAAAAGCAACAGTGTCACACGTTATAGAGAGAGAGCAAGTTTTGTAGTTTTCCTTGTTATTTGCAAGTATACGCAATGAGGTGTAGCCTAACCATTCCAAGAGATAGCCAAATTCCACTGCTCACATGCCAGCTCTCTAGGGAAACAGCCACTCCCCCGCCCTGATGCTTACAGAACCAAAACTTAGTTTTCTGCGAGTGTTTCCAGACTGCAGACTCTGAATGCTACAAAATAATGTCAGTGCTTGGATTGAAGACAACTCATTTGGGCTGCTGTTTTCTCACTTCCTGGCTTGGCTCTGGATAGATAGATAGATAGATAGATAGATAGATAGATAGATAGATGAGAGAAAGAGAGCAGGTTGGATTATGAGTGGAAACGTTTGCATTGTTGATAAGACAAGTGGTAAATTACACAGTTAGGCTGCAAAATGACTGGGCATATTTGTATTTGTGCCCTTATAACACCGAGAACTCTGCTGTTCTTATCTGCCTTTTTCAATCTATTGTTGTTGTTGCTGCTGCTGTTTTAAATAGCAAGTTACGATAAGTTGCACTGTCCGTCCTGGAGCAGGACATATCCGAAGAAGTCTGTTGGCTCTGCTACTTCATATAACCCTATTGGTCTGCACCATTGTAACTTGGTCAACTTCTTTCTGTGTTTCCACAGGGGGGCTCATCATACCTCATTGGACCAGAGTTCCCCTCCCCAGACAGGAAGCCCAGGAACACCACCCTCTTGTAAACTACCTTTACTCGGCACTTACGACAGCAGAGACGACTTTCCACTCCGGAAAACTGGTCAGTAAACCCCATTGGTGATGGGATAATCCAGAAAACAAGGGTGGGGGTAGAGGGTGGTGTTGATGAAATTTAGGCCCCTGGGTGGAAAGGGGATTTCTGCACTTTCTGAGTATGCTGGCTTGAAAAAACCTGGATTGTGTGTGTGATTTTGTTGGAAGAGCTACAAGTATGGGGGAGGGACATTCATTAAGCTAGTTTATTGAACATTATCGGAGACTAAGATGAGCTTTCCAAAAGCTCAAGAGGGCGAATGTAAGGCTCCCTCCCATGCAGAATCTCAGTTCCTCTAGATATTAATTATGATAAGCAACTACACTTCTGTGTGTGCCAAGCGCCTTGTATATTTTTGAGCAAGTAGGATTTGCAAAACCTACTGTGCAGACTGCTTCTGCGAACAGCCTACTTTTAGATGCAGTTCAGGGCTTTACAAAAAATCAGATGTTTGGGTGCTAATTATGTAACCTTACAAGAGCTTCTCTGCAGACAGGCATTGAGAAAAGACAACAACCCAGCTGCTATGCGGAAACAAAGCTCCTTAGAAACATAGGAAACAGCCTTATGCCAGGTCAGGCGATCTGTCTAGCTCAGTGCAAGCTACTGTTCTTCTGGCAGCAGTGCGCCAGGCTCGGAGGCAAAGAGAGGTCTTCCCCATCACAAGCTAGCTGTAATCCTTTTAGCTGGAGATGTCAAGGATTGAATCTGGCTCTTTTGCATGCAAGGCATGTGGTCTACCGCTGAGCTGTGGCTCTTCCTCTAGTGGGCTGGGCTAGACTGGAGGGAAGTGACTAGTCGTGTCGCCCAGTATGGTTGAGCAGAGATTTGAACCCAGGTCAAAATCCCAACGCTCAATCTAACACTCCACACCAGAGGCTAGCAACCTAAGGCCCATGGGCTGGGGTTGCTTAACTGGCCCATAAGCCACCCCCAAATGCAGACACCCGCTTGGCGAGTCCCCACACGCTGCGCTAAACCAGCGCAGCGCGGGGAAGCTCTTCCATGGCTCCGGAAATCGCCTCTGCACGTGCCCAGATGCCGAAAATCACTTCTGCGCACGCACAATTTCCAGTGTCTGGGCATGCGCAGAAGCGATTTTTGGCGCCACAAACATGTGCAGACATGATGTCCGGCGTCTGGGCATGTGCAGAAACTATTTCTGGCACCGTGGACATGTGCAGGATCTCCACGGGAGTGATCCGACCCATGTGCCAGCTTCTTTCAAGAGCTTAACTCTTCTGGAAATTCACAAAGCAGTTCTGTACTTATTGCAAGCTGACCCATTTTATCAGACTGGAGCCCCCTTGCCGACAAATAAGAAAGATAAATTTTGGAATAGTTGGGCTCAATCAAGTGAGGGAGAGGAAGTGACAAATGCATGTCTGCGATGTGGTGTGTCCTGAGTAAAAGAAAGCAGGAACATACCTGGATTTGCACAATTTTCTTTGTGCTTTTGAAGGAAGGGATGGAAGTTCTTTTTATTATTATTATTAAACGTTTTATTTAGGCGTACTTACAAACAAACAACTTGGGACGCGGGTGGCGCTGTGGGTAAAACCTCAGTGCCTAGGACTTGCCGATCGCATGGTCGGCGGTTCGAATCCCCGCGGCAGGGTGAGCTCCTGTCTTTCGGTCCCAGCTCCTGCCCACCTAGCAGTTTGAAAGCATCCCTAAGTGCAAGTAGATAAATAGGTACCGCTTTATAGCGGGAAGGTAAACGGCGTTTCCGTGTGCTGCACTGGTGCTGGCTCGCCAGAGCAGCTTCGTCACGCTGGCCACGTGACCCGGAAGTGTCTCCAGACAGCGCTGGCCCTCGGCCTCTTAAGTGAGATGGGCGCACAACCCTAGAGTCAGACATGACTGGCCCGTACGGGCAGGGGTACCTTTACCTTTTTACAAACAAACAAACAAAACAATAAGATACACACACTTAACCACAAAATAAACAGAAAAAGTAAGGACAAAAGGAGCATAAAATACCACACCCGTGTGACTTCCCTCCACCAGCTCTCATCACCTTTAAATCATTTAAATTCTTATTTACATTGCATATCAATTATCACCGGTAATTACTTCTTTTATGGTACTATTATAATATAACACCATGTCATCCTTACATGACCTTACATGATGGAAGTTCTTTAGGTGAGAAGGAGGTGGGGCTTGTCACTCTGATTAGTTGGGCAGGAAGAACTTTAGTCAGATTTTTAGACATTGACGGATGGAGCTTGGACAGACCTATAACCTTCTACTGGGGCGCCAAGACATGCACAAGTCCCCGTGTGCAAGGGCGCCATGTTCTCTTCCATTAGTTGTAGAATGCATGCACAAAGGGGAATTCCTTGCAAACACTGATCGTTGCCCACTGTAGATGTGAATGGGATACTCCTGCATGCATGGAGCTCTCTGTGCATGTTGGTCCTCTGTGTGACTTAGGTATATGTATTTAACCTGTTCTTGTGGAATTTGCATGGAGGGTAAAAGTGGCACTGTGGGTTAAACCACAGAGCCTAGGGCTTGCCGATCAGAAGGTCAGCGGTTCGAATCCCCACGACGGGATGAGCTCCCGTTGCTCGGTCCCGGCTCCTGCCAACCTAGCAGTTCAAAAGCACGTCAAGTGCAAGTAGATAAATAGGTACCGCTCCGGCGGGAAGGTAAACGGCATTTCCGTGTGCTGCTCTGGTTGGCCAGAAGCGGCTTAGTCATGCTGGCCACATGACCCGGAAACTGTACGCCAGCTCCCTCAGCCAATAAAGCGAGATGAGCGCCACAACCCCAGAGTCACCAGCAATTTGACCGCTTGTCTTGCTTTTCTCCTACCTTTCCCTCATGTCCCTGTGCCTCCTCCTCCTCCTTCCAGCCTCGGAACCCAACCTAAAAGTGCGCTCACGGTTAAAACAGAAGGTTGCAGAGAGGCGGAGCAGCCCCCTGCTGCGGAGGAAAGATGGGACCGTCATCAGCACCTTCAAAAAGCGAGCAATTGAAATTACAGGTGAGCCCAGCCAGAGTGGGGTGAGTGGAAGGGAATAGCTTTGGCTAGTGACATTTGCATGGGAGAATAGCTGGGCATGGGAAAGATGAAGTATTCATCACACTCTCCAGTCCTCTCCATCCAATTCCCCACCCTCAAATGCCTTGGTAAACATTGATTTGGGTTTTCTGAGGTAACTTTTAGTTGGGTCTCCAGAAGATCCCATAGTGTTCCTTCAAAATGTGGAATCTTCTGCATTCATTCATCTCCACTTAACTTCCTTCCTGGAGGTGTAGAAGGCATATTCCTTCCAGCACGAAGCGGGGCGCAATGGCTAATTCTTAGCTTCAAATGGGTATTTGACTCCCATTTGTTTATTTTGAGCTTTCTTGGTTGGGCCAGTAAATCAAGGAGGGAGGAAAGAGAGGAGGTTAAAATAACATCCTCAAAAGCTTCACATGGGCTCAGGTGGGGGCTGTGTGCCACAAAGTGGGAGGGAGGGGTTGAGGTAGCAGACTGGAAGTGACAAAGTTGGGATTCAAGGAGGAATCCGGCAAATTAGTTTAAATAATGACTTAGAAACAGCAAACTGGATTCCCACTTTAAGAACAAACTGCAGGGTGTCTCAGGCTTGCACACCCACCCACCCTACTTCTCTTCTCATCCTGTGATGGGGAGAAGCTTACAGTTTTAACTAACCACATTTCCACATTTCCCCTTTGATGTCAGCACTGAAAACCATGGTTTGTTTAAACTATTGGTTTGTTTAAACTATTGCTGCCAGTAACTGTATTTTAAACAAGCCACAGTTCCCAGAGCTCAGGCGTCAATAGGAAACGGTGGTCAATTTAAATGTTAAGCTTTAATATCTTTCTCAGAGGAGGAAAGGAGAGCTGAACATTACATTCTGATTCAAACTTTACATTTTGAGTCAAATCTTGTTCTTCCCTTCTCTGGTATGACCCTGTAACTATCGAAGCAAGTATCCATTTAAAGATTTATAAAATTCATAGTGATGTTAGGGGTTGAGGAAAGCGAAGAGCAGGTTATGAAAGTGAAGGTTTATTTAAATAAAGAATGCACCAAAGTTTTCCCCCCTATCCCCTTCAGATGTGCTGCTGATAAATTAAGATATTAATCCAGAAGGTCGTAATCTGTGTGCTAGCTATTTTGTTTGGGCAAGTGGGGGTTAGGGACAAGAGGGTTATAACCCAGAAGCATCTGCTGCTTCTGAAGGATTTTTTATTTTTGTTGGCAAAGGGGACAGTGGCAGGCTGGCAATCCACTATTACATAAGCACATGAGCTTTTGAAGGGCTGAGATTGATTATTCAAAACTAGACCTCTTTTTGGAAATAACAAAGTACCTTTAGCTGATTTAGAAAGGTGAATGTAAAATTGCAATCATAGCAGAGCAGGGCAGAGGGGGAGAAGAGAATTCTAAATTTTCTTTACTCTCCAAAACGTGGGCCTCCCCAGCAATTTGAGCTTCGGAAGAAATTTGGGGGATTTTTCGCTGGCTTTTGTGTGGAGGGAGCCACCACGTCTGGCTTATGTGAAGCCCTTTTCCAGTTTCTGAATCATGGAAGACTAAACATCTGTGGTTCAGATATGACAAGCAGATTTCAAAGTGCGATCCAGGAAACTCTGCAGTGCATCAGGGATTCCTTTTTCTTTTTCCTTTGGCTGTACACCACCTTCATATCTGGTAGGGTGTATTTAAAAACTGGAAATGTTGTCATAGACGAACTTCCCTGGAAGACCCAATAGGTTGCTATGCTAGTGATCTCCCCCTGCTGCTAAGCAGGCATAAGGTGTCAAAGGATGGGCCAAAGACGATTGGGGCAGGAGGGCCAGATGAATGGGAAGACAGTCTGGTAATTCAAAAACTACTTTCGTTACTGACAATGAATTTTCAGATGGTTCTCTTGCCACCATGAGGACTTGAAACTTGATTATGTTTTGAAATTAAAGCTGAAATGCTCAGCAGCCTGAATTTTAGCACAAGGGGCTGACATAGTGGTGATCTTCCCCCCACCCCCCTTCTTTGCAGTGTCTTCAATGTGCAACAGTGCCCCCGGATCTGGACCCAGCTCCCCGAACAGCTCCAACAGCGCCATCACAGAAAATGGGCTTACTGGCTCAGTGCCCAATATTCATACTGAGGTAAGAAGGCTGGTGGAGCAACAACTGCAAAGCTTATGAACTGGTCTGGTATCATTTCTGCAAACACCGTATAGGTTTCCCTTCTCTTTATCTATGAACGTAGATTTTCCTCCCGCCATTACATTTTCAGCCTGTTTTCTTTGCTACTCTGAACCCACGCATGAAGCTTGCTGGGTGATTTTTGTGCTTGCCACTCTCTTATCCTTACCTTCCTCACAGGGTTGTTGTGAGCATAAAATGGGAGAAATGTCCCTGGTGTGCTTCTTGGAGGAAGGGTGGGAAAGCAATGCACAGTGGTACCTTGGTTCTTGAACTTAATCCATTCCGGGAGTTGGTGCAGCTTCTGATTGGCTGCAGGAGCTTCCTGCACTCAAGCGGAAGCCGCGTCGGACATTCGGCTTCTGAAAAACGTTTGCAAACCAGAACACTTAATTCCGGGTTTGCGGCGTTTGGGAGCCGATTTGTTCGGCGACTAACCCGTTTGGGAAACAAGGTTCCACTGTAATGGGGGGGGGAGGGGGGCATAGCTCAGTGGTAGGGAATCTGATTTGGGTCTCAAAGTCCCAGGTTCAATCCCCCACATCTCCAAATAGGGCTTGGAAAGTTTGCTGACTGAGGAAGTGTAACCAGATAGATGGATCCTTTTTTTCATATGTGGTGGACTTGTAAGAAAGTGAGGGCATTTTGGGAGACGATATATAATGAGATAAAAAAGATGTTTAAAAATACTATACCCAAAAAGCCCCCTGAAGCTTTTCTTGTAGGGGTTATAGGGGCAGAAGTCCCCCAAAAATATGATTAAGTTGTTTATGTATGTTACAACTACAGCTAGGATTCTCTACGCACAAAAATGGAAAGAAGCAGAAATACCGTACTTTTCTGTGTATAAGACTAGGGTCTTTTTTTTTTTTTACTAAAAAATAATGTTAAAAAAGGGGGTGTAGTCTCCCCCCATTTTCTTAATTTAGAGTCCCCAAAGGGGCGTCTTATGCACGGGGGCGTGTTATACACGGAAAAATATGGTACCCACTAAAGAAGAATGGATAAGCAAGGTGATGGATTATGTAGAACTGGCAAAGTTAACCACTGGAATAAGAGAACTGAATGACAAAGGACTACAACTCCCATCATGCTTAGCTGGCAAGACCAGCACTCAAGAATGATGGGAATTGTAGTCCGAAAACAGCTGGAGATCCAAGTTTGGGAAACCCTGCCCTAATCTATTCCCCCCAAAAACCCTCTCTGGATAGTTTGTCCAGATCTTATTGTTCCGTCCATCTCCCTCCCAGCATGGTTCAGAATGGAGAGACCCCCAGTTTGGGCCAGGAAATTCTGTGCCAGAGATTTGTAGTAGTGACGATGGTGGTGATGGAAAGGGAGGGCAGCTTCAAGCCCACAAGCCTAATTAGACCCGTCAGGCCTCTCCCTTTTGGCCTTGCCACTTCCACCTGCCCTACATTGAATGTCAAAGGGCTGCCTTCCCCCATGTTTTGAAAGGGGCTTCTGAAGATGCAGCCCTCCTGTCAAACTTGGCCTGTTCAGGGCAGAGGGAGAGGAAACAATTTGTCTCACTGGCGAGAAACAGTTCCCCACCCCTGTACGAAAGGCTAGACATGTGGTGGTTGTTGTGTGTGTGTTTTTTTTAAAAAAGCTATACACCACAAGCCCCTTCCACACACACACACCTGAAATTCTCAGGAAGCTGAATTACATGCGAAATACTCTCTGTGTGTGGTTTATATGCTTCTGTGGGATCACAGCAAATACGGAGCTTTGAAATACGTAACCACAATGCGTTTTGCGGTTATACGAGTGATAGAAGTGGTATTTTTGTGCATCCTTCCTCCACCAACCCACATTCCCCTCCCCCAGCCTGCTAAGAGCCTGGTAAAATAATTCACTAGTCACATTTTCAAAGGCAGGGCCCTCTACCCTGCTTGACTCCGTGCAAAAGGAATTCATGGGATAGCTGCTGCGTGTCTTCTAAGAAAGTGGGACATCAACAGTTTAATCTGGACGGAAATGACTTTGCCATTGATATGTGCAATTGTGCACTGCTGAAGCCTATGTGTGTGCAACTGTTAGTGATTGCTGCCAGTGTGTGTGTGTTCTTTTGTGTGCACATACATTCCTGCGGGAGGTGCACACAATTGTCTTTGCAAGGATGATTGCTTTTGAGCTTTGCAAGTGGATGGGAGCAGAAGAGCACCGGTAGAAACCAGAAACTGCTCCCAGTCACTTTTGCTAGTTACTATGGAGTGACTCATAAATGGAGAAGGATTCTTCGGTGAATTATGTCTTACTTTCAGTTTATTTTTAGGTGCGTTTGTGAAAATGCAATTTTTTTCTCTCTCTCTCTCAAGTTAATACGGTGCTGAATAAAACAAAACACCAGATCTTTTAAAAGAAAAGAGCCACAGGCAAACTCAGACAGTCACTACTCTGTGACAGAGGCTCAGTTCAGAAACCTCACTAATCCATGATTTGCGCCAGTTCTAGAATACAAAAACTGTGCTTTGAGCTTCCAAACATGCATTAGAAATTGCCCCCCCCCTTTCACAGCACTCAGCTTCAAATATTCACTTTTGTCTTTGTCATGTAGCAGGCTCTGGCTGTAACTATAGTTTGTTGATTCGGACAGCACACCAAACCATAACTTGCACGAACCATAAAAAATTGTTTTATATAGTTCAACTGCGTCAGACCAACACGGTTACCTACCTGAATTTTGCACAAACCATGACTTGCAAGCCCACTTCAGATGGTGGGTTAGTGGCTCTTGGTTTGTCATCAGTTGCATGTCATGTATCAGTTCAGCCAAAAACATAGTTAGCTTTCCTTTAACCATGGTTTGGCACGATGTTTGAAGTGAGCCGCTGACACCACAGAAGATCGTGAACACCTTTTTTGTTGTTTAGTCATGTCCGACTCTTCGTGATCCCATGGACCAGAGCATGCCAGGCACGCCTGTCTTCCACTTCCTCCCGCAGTTTGGTCAAACTCATGCTGGTAGCTCCGAGAACACTGTCCAACCATCTTGTCCTCTGTCGTCCCCTTCTCCTTGTGCCCTCCATCTTTCCCAACATCAGGGTCTTTTCTAGGGAGTCTTCTCTTCTCATGAGGTGGCCAAAGTATTGGAGTCTCAGCTTCAGGATCTGTCCTTCCAGTGAGCACTCAGGGCTGATTTCCTTCAGAATGGATAGGTTTGATCTTCTTGCAGTCCATGCGACTCTCAAGAGTCTCCTCCAGCACCATAATTCAAAAGCATCCATTCTTCGGCAATCAGCCTTCTTTATGGTCCAGCTCTCACTTCCATACATCACTACTGGGAAAACCATAGCTTTAACCTTCGTTGGCAAGGTGATTTCTCTGCTTTTTAAGATGCTGTCTAGGTTTGTCATTGCTTTTCTCCCAAGAAGCATGCGTCTTTTAATTTCGTGACTACTGTTACCATTTGCAGTGATCATGGAACCCAAGAAAGTAAAATCTCTCACTGCCTCCATTTCTTCCCCTTCTATTTGCCAGGAGGTGATGGGACCAGTGGCCATGATCTTAGTTTTTTTGATGTTGAGCTTCAGACTATATTTTGCCCTCTCCTCTTTCACCCTCATTAAAAGGTTTTTTAATTCCTTCTCACTTTCTGCCATCAAGGTTGTGTCATCTGCATATCTGAGGTTGTTGATATTTCTTCCGGCAATCTTAATTCCGGCTTGGGATTCATCCAGTCCAGCCTTTCACATGATGAATTCTGCATATAAGTTAAATAAGCAGGGAGACAATATACAGCCTTGTCGTACTCCTTTCCCAATTTTGAACCAATCAGTTGTTCCATATCCAGTTCTAACTGTAGCTTCTTGTCCCACATAGAGATTTCTCAGGAGACAGATGAGGTGATCAGGCACTCCCATTTCTTTAAGAACTTGCCATAGTTTGCTGTGGCCAACACAGTCAAATGCTTTTGCGTAGTCAATGAAGCAGAAGTAGATGTTTCTGTGGAACTCTCTAGCTTTCTCCATAATCCAGCGCATGTTTGCAATTTGGTCTCTGGTTCCTCTGCCCCTTTGAAATCCAGCTTGCACTTCTGGGAGTTTTTGGTCCACATACTGCTTAAGCCTGCCTTGTAGAATTTTAAGCATAACCTTGCTAGCGTGTGAAATGAGTGCAATTGTGCGGTAGTTGGAGCATTCTTTGGCACTGCCCTTCTTTGGGATTGGGATGTAGACTGATTTTCTCCAATCCTCTGGCCACTGCTGAGTTTTCCAAACTTGCTGACATATTGAGTGTAGCACCTTAACAGCATCATCTTTTAAAATTTTAAATAGTTCAGCTGGAATCCCATCACTTCCACTGGCCTTGTTATTAGCAGTGATTTCTAAGGCCCATTTGACTTCACTCTCCAGGATGTCTGGCTCAAGGTCAGCAACCACACTACCTGGGGTGTACGAGACATTCATATCTTTCTGGTATAATTCCTCTATGTATTCTTGCCACCTCTTCTTGATGTCTTCTGCATTTGTTAGGTCCTTTCCGCTTTTGTCCTTTATTATGGTAGTCTTTGTACGAAATGTTCCTTTCATATCTCCAATTTTTTTGAACAGATCTCTGGTTTTGTCCCATTCTGTTGTTTTCCTCTATTTCTTTGCATTGCTTGTTTAAGAAGGCCCTCTTTTCTCTCCTTGCTATTTTTTGGAAATCTGCATACAGTTTCCTGTATCTTTCACTATCTCCCTCGCATTTTGCTTGCCTCCCCTCCCACATTTGTAAGTTTGCATCATTTGCAGGCTCTTACTGAGGATTTAAGGGACTCGGGTAGCACTGTGGGTTAAACCACAGAGCCTCGGACTTGCCGATCAGAAGGACGCCGGTTCGAATCCCCGTGATGGGGTGAGCTCCCGTTGCTCCGTCCCTGCTCCTGCCAACCTAGCAGTTCGAAAGCACCTCAAAGTGCAAGTAGATAAATAGGTACTGCTCCGGCGGGAAGGTAAACGGCGTTTCCATGCGCTGCTCTGGTTCGCCAGAAGCGGCTTAGTCATGCTGGCCACATGACCCGGAAGCTGTATGCCGGCTCCCTCGGCCAGTAAAGCGAGATGAGCGCCGCAACCCAGAGTCGGTCACGACTGGACCTAATGGTCAGGGGTCCCTTTATCCTTTACCTTTACTGAGGATTTAAAGGACTTGGGGGGGAGTAGGGAACCTGTGACCCTAGATGTTGCTGGCCTACAACTCACATCATCCCTGGCCATTGGCAGTGTTAGCTGGGGCTATTGGGATTTGGATCGCAGCAGCAGCTGGAGGGCCACACATTCCTTACCCCTGACTTGTTGTAGTCCATTTGAGTTAATGCGTGCACAAGCCATGGTCACACATACTTCTGTTTAGCACTAGAGAGGTGTTAAGGTGAGGATGCATTCAGAACATAAGAAGACCCAACTTGTACAGCATCCTGTTCTCACCGCAGCCAACCAGACGCATGACAACACTCTCCCGGCTTGTGCTTCTGCTCATGAACAAACCTTGTGCCACCATAGAGAGAAGCTACTTCCTCTCTGGAAAGGAAAGCAGAGGAAGAGAACCCCGGAATCCCCTCATGTGACTTCTTTAGGAGAGTGATGATCCTTGTGCATGGGGGGGGGAAGCTTGGGCATCTCCCTCCCTCCCTCCCTCCCTCCCTCCCTCCCTCCCTCTCTCATGCACAGTGGAATTCTTTCTTCCCATCTTGACATCTGCCGAGCTAAGCTGCAGATCAGAAGGGTATGTAATTACCTCCCATATGGCAGGTCCACCCTCCCCCCAGTCACTTAAAGACTTAGCCGGACTACTTAAGGAGGACGCCCCTTTGTTATAAGAAGAAGCGCCATCTGCTGGTCTTTGTGCACTTGTCCTAAGGAACATCTTCAGCTCCTCTTCTGATCCCGAGATGCAGTGCTGACATCGTCAGTGGAAGGGCACCCTTGAGAATTTTCACCAGGAAATTTTATTTCTTCCAACTCCAACATTATAGAATGATAGAATTCTAGAGTTGGAAGGGACCCAGGGGGTCATCTGGTTCAATTCGCCTGAGTCCCATGTCATAGACCTACCTTTTGGACACCACAGTGCTCTGATGAAATCCAACATTTAAATACCAGCTTACAGTGATACCTCGGATTAAGTACTTAATTCGTTCCGGAGGTCCGCTCTTAACCTGAAACTGTTCTTAACCTGAAGCACCACTTTATCTAATAGGGCCTCCTGCTGCTGCCGCGTCGCCAGAGCACGATTTCTGTTCTCATCCTGAAGCAAAGTTCTTAACCCGAGGTACTATTTCTGGGTTAGCGGAGTCTGTAACCTGAAGCGTATGTAACCTGAAGCCTATGTAACCCGAAGTACCACTGTATACAGTGAGGGGGGAAAGTATTTGATCCCCTGCTAAATTTGCCAGTTTGTCCTCTGACAAAGAAATGACCCGTCCATAATTTTAATGGTAGGTTTATTGTAGCTGTGAGAGACAGAATAAACAACAGGAAAAACCCCAGAAACCCAGAAGACAAAAGTCAGAGATTGATGTGCATTCTAATGAGTGAAATAAGTATCTGAAATAAGTACCTATCAACCAGCCAGATGTCAGGCTACCTGGTATCTTCACTGTATGTAACGAGCTGAGATTAGAAGCACCTGCTGTAAGGGAGAGGTTTTACCTGTAATCCCAGCTCGTTACAGTACCTGTACAAAAGACACCTGTCGACAGAAGCAATTAATCCAGTAGATTCCAAAGTAGCCACCATGACCAAGACCAAAGAGCTGTCCAAGGATGTCAGGGACAAGATTATAGACCTGCACAAGGCTGGCCTGGCCTACAGGAATCCCACTAGGATGGACTGGGATGGTTCATGATTTAGCCACCGTGATCGTATTTCAGTAATTGATTGAGACTCAGAATTAGCCCCTTGATTACTGTGGATTTGTCCAGGGAATTCACATTATTCATTTCATTTATACAGTGCCATCCCTGTGCACTGCACCTTACTGAGTCTCATAACAACTAATAACTTTCTTAGTCATTATGGCCATTTTTCTCACAACAGGGTACCTGCTGTCTTTTGTAGAATAGGTTCATTCATATTTTGTAAAGTAATTGGTTACCACTTAGATATGTTTCAGTTCTTCAGCAAGTGGGGCTCAAGGGTTAGAGATATCAAGTCTAGCGGAGAATAAACCTTTGTATTTGCAAGCTGAATATCCTTTCCCACCTTAGCTTTCCATTTAACACAGCAGCTTGTCACTTGCCATTTTTTTTATACCATTGCTCCAGTAATCTACAGCCCTTAAACCGCCTCTCTGACAAGTTCCAGAGAGAGCGCTCTTCCAGAGGAAGCCATCCTATTGGGACTTTTTTCATGTATGTATGTCAAGCTCTGCTAACAGTTCCAGTTCCTTTTCTTATGATAAATCTGTTATGACTTTGCTCCAACTAAATTACTAGAACTCAAACACCAAGAATACTTGAGGAGCTCTATTACTATCAAGCTCTGAGCAATATCAGGAGTCCTACACAACTTTTAGAAGACACCTGAAGGCAGCCCTGTAACGGGAAGTTTTTAATGTTTGATGTTTTATTGTGATCTTATATTTGTTGGAAGCAGCTCAGAATGGCTGGGGCAACCCAGTCAGATGGGCGGGGTACAATTATTATAATTATTATTACTATGCACTTATAAAGCATCCAAAATTTACTAAGCGCCATGTAGAGATTTCATGTTGTGCACATTGAGCTTGGACATGCAATGCATATTTCTCATTGCAAACAATGTGAAAAGTTTGTCTTAAGTCTCATAGATTTCAGTGGGACCTTTGTAACTAACTTGATCCAGCTGATTCAAATGCTGCTGAACTTGGAAAGTTTCTGGGCAGTGCCTTCTTCCTATTTTATTCTAGCACCTTGTGCTAGAATGCCGCTGCGTGCCTTCAGGGGAACACCTCCATGTATTTTGCTTTGTTATATCTACAAACATTGTCAGAGCTGCATAACGTCAAAGCTTGTTGCTGTTTGCATAGTTAAAAAGGGTCACTTGCTATGAAAATTAATAAATAAAAGGATTCAGATGAGACGTTAAAAATGGCAACCGTGTGAGTCCATTGAGACCCCTGAGGGTGTTCCTTGACTGACCATAGATCACTATGTTTAGAAGTTCAGCCGTGAAGTGAGTTGGAATTTGTTAGCAGACGTAACAACCTTTTTGTGACTTTATTTTTAAAAAATGTACGTTCTTATTCTAATTGCAATATTTTTTATAAACACCTTTGGAAGTACGTTTCCGTACTACCAGTACGTTTCCGAGCACAATTCAAAGTGTTTGTGCTGACCTTTAAAGCCTTAAATGGCCTCGGTCCTGTATACCTGAAGGAGCGTCTCCACCTCCATCGTTCCGCCTGGACACTGAGATCCAGCGCCGAGGGCCTTCTGGCGGTTCCCTCATTGCGAGAAGTGAGGTTACAGGGAACCAGGCAGAGGGCCTTCTCGGTAGTGGCACCCACCCTGTGGAACACCCTCCCTTCAGATGTGAAGGAAATAAACAGCTATCCTATCTGTAAAAGACATCTGAAGGCAGCCCTGTTCCGGGAAGTTTTTAATATTTAATGCTGTACTGTTTTTAACATTTGATTGGGAGCCGCCCAGGGTGGCTGGGGAAACTCAGCCAGGTGGGCGGGGTATAAATAATAAATTATTATTATTATTATTATTATTATCATCATCATCATCATCATCATTATTAATTATTTGGGTGAAGGATGGGCTGTGTACGCAAATGATGGGTGGATAAATAGATACATGGACTTAATTGGGAGTGGTTGTCTGAACACAGATTGCAATTTACGTTCTTTTAGCACCTCCACAACCATGCAGACTGAATGCGAATTGTCTTTTGCTGATATGGAAGTGGGGGGCCTGACTTCTTTGATTGACTCATGAATTCATCCCTGTTTTTGCACAACATTGGGCTGGGTACCTGCTGGTAATTTTTGTGGTGTCTTTGCCTCTTGGACACACCATGTAGGTACATGCAGTCTTTGAATGTGCCGCAGAAGTCTTTGTTGGCATATACATTTCAAAACCAATTGAAAAAGCAAGCCAGCCTTCTGGCATATGTCCCAGATGTCTCTTGCCATGCTAGCTAGGTGATCAGACCAATAGAGCTGGGAGAACATGGCTGCGTTTCCCCCCTCCTCTCATATTTTGCTGCAGTTTCTTACCCTTCTGTCTCTTCTTATATCCTCCCTTCCCTGCAATTATATACAGCAGATGCTGCCCCAACACCGAGCTGTCACCATGGATGGGTCAGCTAGCCAGCTCAGCTTGTACACTTCCCCGTCTCTGCCCAACATCTCCTTAGGACTACAGGCTACCGTCACGGTGACAAATTCACACCTCAGCGTGAGTACATGCTATCCATAAAACGTAACAGAAATCATACAGTGGGTGCTCTGGCTCAGACCACCACCACCACCACCCCTGGCCACTGATGCCCAGGCGCCAACAGCCCATCTAGCATCTAGCATTTTGTCCTGCAAGAGTGGTGAGCCGTGTTACTGCAGGGAAGGCGACTAACCAAGAACAATTGTAACAAGTCAAGCCTCTGCTTAGGACCCAGAGGCCGAAAGTCAGAAATACGCAGGTACCGAAGTAGTTATTTTGGTTAATTAATTAAATAGCATTTCCGTAGCGTTTGATTGTTAAGAAGCAACGGCAGCTATTTAGCACTTTGCAACAGTGTAAAATCAAACCTTAAAATTATCGGTAGAAAAACAGTTATTTAAAAGCATCCAGAAGATGATTAAAATCAACAGTAGGTCAAAAGAGAAAAATTGCAAGTCACTTCCGCATGTCCCGATAAGCTTAGCCTAAACAAAAGTGTTTTGAGCAGGTGCCAAAATGAACATACGTCAACTAGGTACCAGTTCCACACAAATTTTAGCTGTAGGATTTATATACCACCTTTCTGCCAAAGAAACCCAATGTCATTGTCAGCTTTTAAATTTTTAAATTGTGTTTCCCAAACCTGATTCTCTCTCCATCTGTTTTTGAACTACAATTCCCATCGTCCCTGACCACTGGTCTTGCTAGCCAGGGATGATGGGAGTTGTAGTCTGGAGCCCAAGTCTTGGGAACAGTCGTTCCTTGGAAGTCAAATGGAATCCGTTCAGAAACCAAAGCGCGGCTTCTGATTGGCTGCAGGAAGCTCCTGCAGCCAATTGGGAGCCGCGGAAGCCCTGTCAGACGTCCCAAGTACCAAGGCGTTTGGGATCCACGCTGCAATTGTATTAAAACAACTACATTATATAAAATGTAGAATGACAAGAGTCTTCTCAGGCTGACAGGAAGCTGTTGTCACTTCCCCCTTCTCTCAAGTCACATAGAACTCAAGGGAAGATGTGGAAAGAACTGCCCCAACATCTCTGTCACGCCGCTGAGAGTTCTGTATGTATTGCTTCATGACCCAAGACCCTCTGCTGAAGCCTTACTTTGTTGGCCAGTGGTTTCCTAAACTTGGGTCTCTCACCAGCTGTTTTCAGACTACAACTCCCATCATCCCTAGCTAGCAAAACCAGCGGTCATGGGGGATGGGAATCGTAGTCCGAAAACAGCTGGAGCAGCGGTTCTCAACCTGTGGGTCCCCAGATGTTGTTGGACTACAACTCCCATCATCCCTGAGCTCTGGCCTTGCTAGCTAGGGGTGATGGGAGTTGTAGTTCAACAACATCTGGGGACCCACAGGTTGAGAAAGGCTGAGCTGGAAAGAGACCCACGTTTGGGAAAGCCTGGAGACAGGCTAGGGGGTGGAAGGGGGGAGAAATGCAAAGGTCAAGGAATGCCGAGGAAAGAAACCATGAGGCTTAAGAAGCTGGGAAGGGGGGACATGGGTGGCGCTGTGGGTTAAACCACAGAGCCTAGGACTTGCTGATCAGAAGGTCGGCGGTTCGAATCCCTGCGACTGGGTGAGCTCCCATTGCTTGGTCCCTGCTCCTGCCAACCTAGCAGTTCGAAAGCACGTCAAAGTGCAAGTAGATAAATAGGTACCGCTCCAGCAGGAAGGTAAACGGTGTTTCCGTGTGCTGCTCTGGTTTGCCAGAAGCAGGTTAGTCATGCTGGCCACATGACCCGGAAGCTGTACGCTGGCTCCCTTGGCCAGAAAATAGAAGGGGGGGGGAGAAGCTGGGAAGGGGAGCAGCAATGGCGGAGCTGGAGTGGGAGAAGACAGAGCAAGGCTTTAGGAGTGGAAGAGTGGGCTCAAGTTCTGGGGTTAAGTGGGGACATGGTAGAGTAGGAAGGGACCTCTGGGGAACTGGCTTTCCTATAGAATGGGAAGGCGCCAGCACAAAACGGCAAAGAAAAGCAGGCAGGGTGTGGGTTTCACGTCTTAACTTTCTCTAAATCAGATGTTCTGGACTGCAGTTCCCACCAGCCCCAGCATTTCCTAGTCACGCTGAGCTGTAGTGGAAAACATATGGAGGGTGGCATGTTGGGAAATGCCGGCCCTAAATATTTCTAGCCGCCATTGCAGAGTTATGAATAAAGGACAGGCGTGACTCCTCTCTCCTCAGTCGCCTCACCGTGCACATGCCAGGCTGAGACACATTTAGGACAAGAGTGACTCCCTCAGGCTCTATAATAGAGTTAGCGCCATTTAGCAGAAAGTGCCTCACAGTTACGGAGTAGACCTATTCACACAGGCATTTGCTCTCAGGCGCAACGGTGCATAGCTGTGGCGTTAGCGCTACATCTCTCGGGATTTATATGTGAAGCATTTGATCTTCCAATCCCGCCTTCTACCCTTCTTACAAGTCCTGGAGACACTTCTTACAAGCAAATCGGTGGGCAAACTTTCTATCATACCCTGACCTGGGGTGGGGTGTGGGGTGTGTGGAAGGTTTGCTGGGGTAAGCAGGCAGCACTGACAGAGACCAAATAAAATGGCTTCAAGGGTACTATTTATGTTACATGTAGAGTTGCAATCGAAATTATTCGACCCCCCACCACCACCATTGCAAATCAGGCTTGTTATTATCAAAATGTGCAAACTTTCAGCTGTTTGCCATGAGCAAATCAAACAAGAGCGATTGAAACAGATGTTTCAAGTGGTTTCTTGCAACTTATACTTGCTCCACCTTATTCTTGCTAAACAACTCTGACAATCCAACATGTTGCTATGCAATACCGCCTTGATATTTTATATGAGATGGTGATATACATATGCTTACAGACATAAATAAGATGTTAAAACCCTCTGGCTCTTGCTCAAGTACTACCTTAATTTCTTCCCTCCCTATCAGACACCCCACAAATTGCAGAGGCCCCAGTGTTTGATGATTCCACCCTCATGAGTATTTAAAATGTCCTTTTCGTGGGTTCTTCTGCTTTGTGTTATACTTTTTTCTTCTTCTTTTTTACAAGCTTCAGTCTCCAGGTTTTATTTTCTCCTAAACCAACTGGTTCCCAGCTGTAACCTATTTATTGCTTTCCTCTGATGACAAGCACCAAACTTGGCTCAGGCTTAGGCACGCAGGACTCGTGCCCAGTCTACAGCTTGGCTATTTTCAGCCTGAGGAGTTGGAAATAGCTGAGTGGCAGACTTCGCATTCTGCTGGGCTCTGCTGCGATTTGTTTTCCTCAACCCCTAGTAGGAAAGAGCTTGCAGTTGTGCATGTGTGTGCTGTGAGCACCCATGTTTTGATTTTGTTGGGTGCTGCTCCCCTAACGCAGCGCCAGACAGTGAGGAACGGCCTCTCCTTCCTCTAATTCTCAGCGGCACTTTTAATTTTGTCTAACCCGTCTGTCTCTCCACTAAAGTGGGATCTTAACTGAATTTGAGTGCCTTCTTTTGGGCTGGAGGTATTTCTGCGAGAAGGGGAAGTTGTAACATAATACCTGGTGAATTTATGAGTGTCTTTACAGTAGTTGGCCTGTATTATTTACTTGTTATTGGTGGTTTTTTTGAGATTATTTGGGTCTGAATTTATTTTGATATGCTTGTATCCTATAGTGTGTGTGTGTGTGTGTACACATACACACACAGAGAGAGAAACATATACAGTGGTACATCGGGTCTCGAACGTCTCTATTGTCGAACATTTCGGAACCTGAACGCCGAAAACCCGGAAGTAAACGCTTCTGTTTTCGAACGCACCTCGAAAGTCGAACGGCTTCTGCTGCATGTTTTTCAATTTTCTCAGTTGCATTTGCAGCCAGCCATTTGCGCCTTGGTTTTCAAACGTTTCTGAACTGGAACGGTCTTCCGGAATGGATTGCGTTTGAGAACCGAGGTACCACCGTATAGGAAAAAGTGAGAGTAATTTGGAGGATATTTGCTGGGTGCCTTAGTGCAGACTTTTCATGTTGGTGACACACTTTTTGGACATGCATTATTTGATGACACAGTAATTCGGTTTTACTAGCAAACCAGAGATTAAACCAGGCTTTCTCAACCTTCAGCCCTCCAGATGTTTTGAGACTACAGTTCCCATCATCCCTGACCACTGGTCCTGCTAGCTAGGGATCATGGGAGTTGTAGGCCAAAACATCTGGAGGGCCGAGGTTGAGGAAGCCTGGGTTTTAAACTAACCCCTTTCCAGCCCCGGGAGGAGCGTTGGTGCGATACACCTACAAACTTCAGTGGACACACTAACGTGCTGCGGCACACAGATTGCAAAGCTCTGCCTTAGTGCAATATATAATCGCCACCATTCTAAGCCCTGTTGTTGCTGCTGCTGCTATTGCTACTACTTACTACTGCTACTACTATAGAGCCATCTCTCAAGCTGTGGCTCCTGCAAGCCAACTCCATAGCCACTCCTCTCCTTCTGTTGATTTTGGAAAGGGGAATCACAGAAAGGGCTTGCGTGTGGTGTTTGTGTGCATAGGCCAAAGCAAACCATTTCAGGATCAGTCTAGAACTCGGGGAGAATCTGGGTATAATCCAAAATCAATATATGAGGCAAGGTTGACGGAGTGGGCCAAAAAACAAAACAAAACAAAACACACACTCCCAACCATTGCATGTGCAGTGAAAGAAATAAGTTTGCCTTTGTAAACTCTGGACGCAATAGAAACCAGGTTAATGTTTTGTCACTGTTTTAACATTCAATATGGTGGTGGTGGATAGTGGATCTCAGGGAGGCGACTGACCATTGCCGCACCCCTGTCTATGATTATAGCAAACCCTCTTGGCTTCCTCCTAGGGTGGATCTGATTTAAATCAAATCGATTTAAATCATGATTTAAATCACTACTCAGTAAGGCTTGATTTAATTTTATTTTTTTACTGAAAGAGTCATTCTTGCTGGTATAATCTTAATATTTACAACCAGATGAAGGTTTCATTTTTGGATAATAATAATAATAATAATAATAATAATAATAATTTAGTTTTTACAGTTATATCAGAAATTACTGATTTAGTTATACTGTTAGAAATCCATAGATAATTAAGAAATTATTGTGAGGGTTAACAAGTTAACTGTTCATATTTGGACAACTTTTCTGCTGTACTTTATTGGAAGGAGAAAAACAATCATTTCCTTAATAACAATTTAATCAATTTATTTAACTAAAACAATAACATTATAGCATATATATCCACGTTTGTTAACTGATGTGGTTAAACAATTTTTTTTAAAAAAAAACTTAGACTGAGTTTTAGCACACATGAAAAACTTAAAACAAATCCTTATTTCCTGATGAATAGCCTTCGGACTCTAATGTAACTTAAATAGAAAACTATCTTTAGAAAGATTTTTCCTCCAAAAGCATTTCATTTTAAAAATCCGATTAAAATAAAAAAAATCTGATTTAAATTTTTAAAAATCTGTTGTTGTTGTTTTTAAAAAAATCATTGATTTTTATCCACCCTGCTTCCTCCATTAGGCCTCCCCGAACCTTTCCACGCACCAGGAAGCAGAGTGCCAGGCCATCCAGTCGTTGCGCCAGGGCGGGGCCTTGACCAGCAAGTTCCTGAGCATGTCGTCCATCCCCAGCTGCCTTCTGGGGGTGGCCCTCGAGGGCGAGACGAACAACCACGGCCATGCTTCCTTGCTCCAGCACGTCCTCCTCCTGGAACAGGCTCGGCAGCAAAACACGCTAATTGCTGGTGAGTGCGGGGGGTGATTCTGGCAACATATTGGTGCAACACACAGGCAAGTTTGTACAGGGTGGAATGTAGCATTTAACCACTGTTGTTGGCAGTAACCAGCTGGGAGGTGGGGTGGCAGGAGCGCTGCTTTGCAGCGGAAGTCAGTGACATCATCAGAGGAGGCAGCCGAGTACTATATTCTTCCTCTGGTAGAAGGTGGCACCTTTCTAACTGCTGTTTCCATGTGACCTGCCACACACACACACACACACACACACACCACTGGTAAATAGTGGGAATTGTTGTGAGAAATGGGGAATTTCAAGCTCACAAATCGATTTGTGCACTCACGCTGCTGCAGAAACTGCGGCAAGAGCAGTCTACGCCCCAAAATGGAAAGACTGGCTTACGAAGATGATGGAATATGCTGAGATGGCTAGACTTCACTGTGAGAATTAAAGAGAACAAAATGGAAGGGGGAGGGAGAGATTTCTCTGAAAAATGGAAATATTTTGTGGGATAGTTGAAAAAAATATCATGGTTACGTTGAAATGTTGCAGGCTTGGCAGTACAGCAACAGATGAGAACTTGTAGTTTAACCGTTAAGAATTAATGGATGAAATATAAGTAGCACAGCAGCTTTGTAAGGGTATCAAAGAACACCGTGGATGGGAAGTCACTGGATAGGAGAGATTCATTCTGATTGTATGTAAATCCAAGCCAAATAACTTTATTGTACTAGCCGTTGGCCATGACAAATCTGAATGAAAAATAATACAAGCAAAAGGGGTGCCACACCACAAATAAGAGTGTCTATTTAGATATCTGCATTTCCCTTACAGTTCACTGCTATATTGTCCAGGGTCGTCTTTCTTCTTTTTTTGGCCACTAAAGCGAAAAGAGCGACTTTATGAGTCACGGAAGCGTTTGCATCGCTAAAAAGCCCTAGGGCCTTCTCTGCCGGGGAGAGAATTTTAGATGAATTTGTAAAATTTGAAAATTGATTTTAAAATATTTATAAAAAAAATATGCTGCCAGAAACCACCCATATGAATGAAAACAAACCCTGAGGACTAGTGACTTGGCTTGTGGCTTTTCGTTTTGAAGCGGACTGCGGTGGCGTATTGTCGAAAGTGCCTTAATGATCGCCTCCCTCTCTCACCCACCCTCCTCTACAGTTCCTCTGCATGGCCAGTCTCCTCTGGTGACGGGGGAGCGCGTACCCTCCACCCTGCGGACGGTAAGCAAGCTACCTCGGCACCGCCCGCTGAGCCGCACCCAGTCGTCGCCGTTGCCACAGAGCCCTCAAGCGCTGCAGCATTTGGTTGTGCAGCAACAGCATCAGCAGTTCCTAGAGAAGCAGAAACAGCAGCAGATCCAGCTGGGAAAGGTGGGTAGAGGAGGAGGAACAGCTCACTTATCACAGTTGCACGTCAGCTGGCCCTGAATAATAATAATAATAATAATAATAATAATAATAATATTTATACGCCTCCCATCTGACTGGGTCGCTCCAGCCACTCCAGGCAGCTTCCAACATGATAAAATGCCAAACATAAAAAACTTCCCAATACTTGGAAAGCAAGCGAGGCCACAACTAAAAGAAGATTGGCAACTTAATTTTGACAGAATATGGGCAACTTGCAGACTTAACTTATAGAATAAGAGAGCAAGAACAGCATATGTTTAAAGAAGACTGGAAAATGTTTGTCAAGTATATGGGAAATAATTGTGTACAGCAGAGAACGCTGGCAGCTTTAAGATAAATTCAGCAGTGTAGATAATCTTTGACAGATGTAATAATGGAAAACCGATTGGAATAGTTTTTGTAAAATATGTATGCAGGCGTATGAGATACGCAAAACGAACCGTGGAAAGAGAAGAAGGGAAGTCGTTGATATTTTAAGTATGTAAAATGTTTATTTGAAATTGTAAAACAGAAAATTTAATTAAAAAATTACATATAAAAAGACTTCCCATTGCAAGGCTGCCTTCAGGTGTCTTCTAAAAGTTCTGTAGTTCTTTATCTCCTTGACATCTGATGGGAGGGCGTTCCACAGGGCGGGCGCGACTACCGAGAAGGCCCTCTTCCTGGTTCCCTGTAACTTGGCTTCTCACAGTGAGGGAACCGCCAGAAAGCCATCGGAGCTGGACCTCAGTGCCCGGACTGAATGATGGTGAATATAGTGGCTGCTGTATGGTAGGCTGATCTAGTGCAGTGTGGAGAAATGAGAGGCATGTCCTTCCCCCCTCCACCTCCTTGCCAAGCACCCCCTGCTCCCCGGGGCTGTAACATCCTTCTTGGCACCTCCCTTTTCTAGTATAGGCGATTTGAGTTGCACAGGTATTTCTGTCAACTTTCCTTTCTGCTACCAGCTGAGGAGGCTGGGGCTCAGAGACTCCTTTCGGTCTGAGTGCTGGTTCCCTGGTGGCTCAGTATGCACACCCTCCCCATCAGCTGCAAGTTGCCCATCACATCTCAGCATGTTCAAGTCCTCTTTTCCTTTTCTCTCGCCCCTCTCCGTTTGCAGATCATCACCAAGACCGGTGAGCTGCCGCCGCCCCCCACCACCCACCCGGAAGAGACCGAAGAGGAGCTGACAGAGCAACAGGAGCCCTTGGGTCTAGGCCTCAGCCACGGGCCCTTTGTGGTGGACGGGTCAACAGAGAGCGAGGGCACGCAGGATGACCTGGAAGAGGAGGAGGAGGAAGAAGGAGGAGGAGGCGGAGGAGGAGAGGAGGAAGAGGAGAGCGTGGTGGAAGAGCAGGGCTGTCTCCGATTGAAGGACGAAGCCGGGGAGAACAGGCTCGAAGAGGAGCAGGAGGTTGAGGAGCTGGGAGTGACTTACAGGCAGGTGAGGCCGCCGTACGAATCCGTTGCCGAAATCTGTGCGGGAAGAGTCTCTTTCGAAGGGTGGAGGCGTATAAAAAGGAAGGGTGGCTTTAAATCCCACCCCATAAATCGGGGGTCACCTGTGCCTGCCCCCTCAAACATCCACAGTGTATGAGAGACTTCCTGCTCTGTTCCTCTTTGCACCCATGTCGCGGTGGGCTCCCACGGCACTTTTCCAGAATTCCAAATAGGACGGCCAGGCCAGGAAGGTTCCCTGTCCCAACCTTTTTCATTGGGCTGATCCACCAGGGCTGCCCTTAAGTTCTTACGAGGAAGTGGAAGATAGCCAGTCTCCTTTTGAGCAGGGGCTGGATGGTGCCTCCTCTCAGCTCTCTTGTTCTGCAAAAGAGGGCATAGAACTAAGGTAGCACAGAAGCAGCAGGCGAGATGAAGCCCCAGAGCATTGGGGAAGCTCGCTGCCAAAGGACATGAGCCTGGAGAAGGAGGCGGAAGGCCGCCTCCGGCCCCCATCCCTCACCCCCACTCACCCACGCCAGCGGTGGCGAAGACTCCCGAAGAGAAAGTGACTCATTTCCCACCTCTCCGCCACCCTCCCTTCTGCCCTTGCTTATGTGCATCCCTTCCGCTTCCCTGCGTCCTCCTTAAGGATGAGTCACTTGTCTTTCCTTCTTTCATTTCTTTTGCGCACCTAAATATTTCATCAGCCTCAGATGTGTGTTTGGCAGGCAGATGAAAGGCGCTGTCTGCAGGGGTGAAGCGGGAGGGGGGGGGAGAGGCTTTGTAAAGAAACTGGAAGAGGGTAGTATGGGTTGAAAAGCGTGTAATCTTGGAAGCTTAGCCGGGAGAGCAACATGAGTGTTGCAAGGGGTCTGTTGGATGTAACAGTTATGGGGAAACTTGTCTGCAGCAGTCCAGTGGTTAGGCTCGATGAGAGATGTGTACCACAAATAAAATCACTGTTAGCTGGAAGAGCATTTTATCGTAGGCTCATACTATGAATACATATCCTACCCCCAACCCCGATTCAGGTTTGCATGTTGGGGTCTGTGACCATCTGGCTCACGGTGGTTGCGGGAAATTGCTGCATAGGTTGCGGTCAGACACCAGTGCAGCCAAAAAGCTTGGTCCTTAGAATCCCATCTCAGACAGAGAATTCAGCATCCCAAGACTCTCGGCTTTGATGTTTTGTTTTTCAAAGCCAGTTTCCCTCCTTTTTGGTAGGCTTGGGCGTGCGGAACAGCAGCTGGGGAAGGGGGTGGACACAGGACAAGCAGGATTTCTGCTGGGAGCAGTGAGATCTCGCTACCCAACTTGGCTCCTTGCTTCTCCCCAGCAATAGCTTGAAAACGGAAAAGAAGTTAAACCAAACAGTCATATGCCTATGTTTGCAGCGTGTATAATTTATTACAAGCCACAGCTGTTCGGAGCGCGCAGCGTCCAAGTCGCTCTTGGTGTGCAGAAATCCGAGGCTTCAAAGTGCAAAATGTATGCAGTTCTGTATGTACTGGGAGGAAGTTTTCACACAAATTGATCAGTCTGCCTCATAGGTCCCCGTACAGTTTGGCTGAACCTGGCCACATGTTTGAAGCCGCTTAAGTATTAAGGTAACAGAGCCATTTGAATGTTCTTTCTCTCCCTCCCCCCTTTTTTTGGCTGGTCTCCTGCACACAACTCTGGCAGGTGTTTGCAGATGCACACCAGCTGCGGCCCGTTCATCTCTACCAGACGCCCCTGAGCATCGGCACGCTGCCCCACCAAGCCCTCGGCCGCACCCAGTCGTCACCTGCCAGCACTATCCTGAAGAGCAGTACAGCTGAGCCCTTGGTCAAGCACCTTTTCACTACAGGTAGGAGCCGATACAGACCCCTCTCGCGGAGACTGGAAGGCAGGGAGAGAGAGCCTTGGGTATATACAAAGGGAGATATACCTGCCTATCAAGAAGCAACATTCCCTTTTCTGAAAGCTCCTGTTCCGGGTGTGCAAGGAAAAGACATTCTGCACGTGCTCGGGAATATATTCTTTTGTTTACTACATCTCATCTGCTGCTGATGAGGTCTGTGTCAAATTCATTATTTTCTGCAGGGCACAACTCAGTGCAGGCTGAGCCTGGGTGTGCTTTGGGGCAGCTTGATGTGTTGTAGGAGGAGCCTTGCTTTAGTACGGAACGCTGGGATGTCTCTGGTTCTTTGGGGGTCTCTTCGGCCCAGAGAGTTCCTTGCCAGGATTGGCCAGTGATTGGGGCAGGCCAAAGACATGTGGTGACCAAGGCAAAGTAGAAAACAGTGCCTCTCCCTTGGCCAACAAGGGGAGTAGAGCCTGGGAGAGGTGGTCTTGGGAGCAGACGCATAAAAATATTCAGTTTGCTTTTGACTTTTGTCACAGCAGGTTTCTCACTCGGAGCTCTCCGTTCCTTAGCAACTTCTGATTTGGTTTGCTACCTGGGCTCCTTCAGTAGGGCAGGGCAGTTGAAGGAGCAGGATTTAATTTGAACTAGCCACCCCCCATTTATTTAGCCCTGTGTTTGTTGTCTCATATGGAATACTGAATGTAATTGAGCATGTGCAGAGTGTGTTTCCTTCCACACAAAGGACATAACCGACTCCTATACTCCAGGTGTTTTTTGAGGGGGAGGGGAGAACGGCTTTCAGTGTGGGGAGAGCAATTTCCTTTGAACTCCTGCACCTTTAGTTCCAAAAGTCACTCAAATTAAATCAAACCACTGGTGGCTTGTGAATCATTCCAGCATTGCCGTGATCTCACTAGTTTCCCTTCTCTTTCTCTCCCCCGCTCCGCCCCACTATCCTTCTTTCCTGCCCTCTCTCACAGGCTTAGTTTATGACACTTTCATGCTGAAGCATCAGTGCACATGCGGAAACACTAATGTTCACCCAGAGCATGCTGGGAGAATCCAGAGCATCTGGTCCAGATTACAGGAGACAGGGTTGCTAAGCAAGTGTGAGGTAAGAATCTTCAGAATGGAAACCTTCTGCCAGCAAATGGTAAGGCACCTAACAAGGCCTTGGGTTGAAAGGGTGAGCAAATTTTAGGGCAGGTGTTTTTCCCCAAACTTGGGTCTCTTGGCTGTTCCTGGACTACAGCTCCCATCATCCCTAGCTAGCAAGACCAGTGGTCAGGGATGATGGGAACTGTAGTCCAAAAAAACAGCTGGAGACCCAAGTTTGGGAAACACTGTTTTAGGGAATGGTTTTGCAGCGTCAGGAGGCGCCCCCCCCAAACCTGGAATGTCTGATTAACAGGATCATTCCCCACCCTGAAGCAAAGATACATAGGTCTGCAAAATCACAACCAACATCTCAGGTGCAAACAAGTGTGTGCGTGCGCGTAAATATATACCACACACTCCAAGGATAGGTCCTATGTACAGTTGAACCTCAACTTACATACACTTTGTCTCGCGGATGTTCCAAATTGTGTCCGCAGCAAACCTGGAAATAAACACCGGGTTTGCCGCGATTCACGCATGCGTGGAAGAGGCTTCTGCCATCGGCATGTGCGCAGAAGCACGCTACTTGTGCATGCGCAGAAGCGGCTGCCACCATCTGTGCATGTGCAGAAGCACGCTACCACCGAATGCGCATGCTCACAAGAGGCCTCTTCTAGCATCCCGTTTCGGCCAGGGGACGGACCTCCGGAACAGATTATGTCTGTAAGTAGAGGTTCCACTGTAATAGACACAGTGCTTTCTCCAGAATGGTCCAGTGCGTCCCAGGGAAACTCAACACTCTTACAACGTCAGTTCCTAGTAATGCGCATTATTCTGCAGATACCTAAGAGTGAAGGAACAAACCTATGATACCCATTTCTGTACGATATGAAAGCCCACGTTCCTGCATGAAAAACATATATGTTCTCCCCCCTCCCCATTTCTCCCTGCCCCCCAGTAATTTTCAAGCAGGTTACTTTGTTACGTTTTTCATGCAGGAACGTGTATTGACTTTATAAGAGTATTGACTTCCCCCCCTGGGCTGAACACATCAGTTATGCATTTGAACGTTCCTGGGGAAAACATCTATGCAATCTCTTCATGTCTGCCACATCTTCAAATTTAGCTATGAGGGTGAGTCTTTTTGCTCATTTACTTCCTTAACACTTGCAAACTGGGGCAGTGGGGGGTGGGGGGGTGGGGAAGCTGTGCAGAAGTGATGTCTCTGCATGTAACAGGATCCTTGAGTTCCTGAGAGAAGTTGTGTTAAATCCAGTGATGGGGAGGTTGTTGGCCAAATTGCGTAGGGCCCTGTTTGGGTATTTTTTTGTTATCAAATCTGCCCTTTTGTGGAAAGATCAAACACACAAAACAGGAGTCTTATGGCAGAGACTAGTTGGTTTATTGTGGCATCATCTCTTGTAAAACAGAACCCACTTTGCTGCGAGTTTTCCTGGTAGGAAGAACGGAGACTCCACATCAGACTAATATGTTGTTTATGGATTCAGACCATGAGTTGAAACTGTGGATCTTAGAAAATGTGCTGTTAGATGCAAATGTGGCATAATGCATTATTTGACCATATATACTCACAAACAAGTCTGCTTTTAAAACGGGTGAATTGACTGACCTCTTGTTGACTTCTCAGCTACCCTGCATCACGATCACACACAAAAATGTGCATTAAGTCTCTCTGACACAAAGCCAGATGGTGTTACAGTGTGATCCATTTTTTAAGGTTCACTTGCTGGTCATTCTGCCTTTGTATTTTGATACGTAAAGTTCCCAGTTCACTAAAATAATTAATTGATTTCGTTTACATCCCACTTTTCTCCTAAGGAGCTCAATGTGGGGTGTGGGTGTGTGGGGTTCCTCCCCAAATCTCCCTTTTATCCTCACAAACACCCTGTGCGGTAGCTTAGGCTGAGTGAAGATTTGAATTCCTGCCCGCCCAGGTTCTAGTCCCAGCACTTAACATGACTTACAAGCGAGAGTTCCTTGATTCATGCATAACAGTGTACTCCGATAATGCAAGCCAGGTCTTTGCTAATGCAAGCCAGGTCTTTGCACTAAAGCCAGCAGGCAGCAGGAGGAGGGTGAGGGATGAGGAAGGAGTGCCAGCACTCATTCTTGGCTTCTGATCTGCGCCATTACGTAGTACTTGCAGTAGATCATTGTGCTTCAGTATTATATTGTATTCTTATAGCCTGTGGTTCAAGCAAACACACCCCTGAATCATTTTTTTTAACTGATTGTAAAATAAGAAGTTGCATTATACCAGATCAGCCTGTTAGTCCATCTAGCTCCAACAGCAGTGGCTTGCTGGGCTCTCAGACAGGGCTCTTCCTTTCCTGTGCGCTGGAAACTTGACTAGGAGGGACGCGGGTGGCACTGTGGGTTAAACCACAGAGCCTTGGACTTGCCGATCAGAAGGTTGGCCGTTCGAATCCCCGCAACGGGGTGAGCTCCCATTGCTTGGTCCTTGCTCCTGCCAACCTAGCAGTTTGAAAGCATGTCAAAGTGCAAGTAGATAAATAGGTACCGCTCCGGCGGGAAGGTAAACGGCGTTTCCGTGCGCTGCTCTGGTTCTCCAGAAGCGGCTTAGTCATGCTGGCCACATGACCCAGAAGCTGTACGCCGGCTCCCTTGGCCAATAAAGCGAGATGAGCGCCGCAACCCCAGAGTCGGCCACGACTGGACCTAATGGTCAGGGGTCCCTTTACCTTTTCAACCAGTGACTGAACTTGGGACATCCTCTCACACTGAGCTATGGCCCCTCCCTCCCCAGTGACATGGCACATGTAGCCAACTAATTTAGGCCTTATGTGAAATCACCCAGGTTTGTTGTGTCGTTGTGCCCATGCAGGTCAATAGCGCTGCCACCATCACTGACTCCTAGGCATAGTCTATGTACAGTGGTACCTCGGGTTAAGAACTTAATTCGTCCTGGAGGTCTGTTCTTAACCTGAAACTGTTCTTAACCCGAGGTACCACTTTAGCTAATGATGATGATGATAATAATAAATAATTTATTATTTGTACCCCAGCCACTCTAGGTGGCTTCCAGGGCTGCCTTCAGATGTCTTCTAAATGTCAGGTAGTTGTTTATCCCTTTGACATCTGATGGGAGGGCCTTCCACAGGGCGGGCGCCACTACCGAAAAGATCCTCTGCCTGGTTCCCTGTAGCTTTGCTTCTTGCAGTGAGGGAACTGCCAGAAGGCCCTCGGCACTGGACCTCAGTGTCCGGGCAGAACGATGGGGGTTGAGACGCTCCTTCAGGTATACTGGGCTGAGGCCACTTAGGGCTTTAATAGGGCCTCCCGCTACCACCGCATCATCACCACACAATTTCTGTTCTCATCCTGAAGCAAAGTTTTTAACCCAAGGTACTGTTTCTGGGTTAGTGGAGTCTGTAACCTGAAGCATCTGTAACCCGAGGTACCACTGTATTCAAATGGATCAGAGTTTTCCTGGAGATCAGGAGTGTGCCAAAATGGACGAGAGAAACACAGGAATCAAAATCGGGTTATTTGACTGTTTCTGAGTCTTAAAGCGTTATGGAATTGATGTCAGGGTGCTATCACAAGTGATGCTAAGAATACCTCTCTTGTCTCCAAGTGGCTTTATGGAAAAACAACAACCACAACCTTGTGAATATGGTTGATGTAGCGCTTGAAACAGTAAACATCCATTTTTAAAGTTAAAGCGACAGTCCTTGGAAATGTGGCTGTTACTCAATTCAGGTGATCTAGGTCATCCTTTTGCCACAAACTAGACATTATCATTTTCTCAATTTCCGTGTTTTCACCATAGCAACGGTAAGGTCTCTTCCTAAGGACGTGACCTCTTCTCCAAAGGTGCAATATTTCTGAAGTGTGAAGGTGTTAAATGTTTGAAGATGCATGATGCAAGTGGGTGTGAAGTCACTCTGGGCAAATGAGAGATTTTAAAAGTACCGTATTTTTCGCCCTATAGGACGCACTTTTTCCCCTCCAAAAATGAAGGGGAAATGTGTGTGCGTCCTATGGGGCAAATGCAGGCTTTCGCTGAAGCCTGGAGAGCGAGAGGGGTCGGTGCGCAGGAGAGCCCCACCGCCAGCCCCACAAGCTCGGGGAAAGCGGGAGGCTCCGCTTTCCCCTCCTCCAGCCCCGCAAGCTCCCAGAGCGATGCCAAAGCTGCACACAGCTTCGGCATGGCTCTGGGTCCCGTTCTGGGGGCTGGGGGAGGGGGAAGCCCCTCCTCCAACCCCGCAAGCTCCCAGAGCGATGCCAAAGCTGCACGCAGCTTCGGCATGGCTCTGGGTCCCGTTCTGGGGGAGGGGGGAGGGGGAAGCTCTGCTTTCCCCTCCTCCAGCCCCGCAAGGTTCGGCATCGCTCTGGGTCCTGTTCTGGGGGCTGGCGTCGGGGGAAGCCCGAGCTTCCCCCAAAAAACTAGGTGCGTCCTATGTGCCGGTGCGTCCTATAGGGCGAAAAATACGGTACTTGCATTTTCTTCTTCTATGAAAGCACCCTCAGTTTATAGCAAAGGGGTGTTCTTACAAGCCTGATAATGGCACTCTGGATTCTGCTACTTTTATCAGTTTAGATTCCATGGCTCACAGAGCGATCCTAGCCATGTCTGCTCAGAAGTAAGCCCTATTCAACTCAGTGGGGCTTGCTCCAAACTAAATTGGTTTAGGATTGCAGCCTATCGTAACTCCTCCAGAGAACTGGTGATGCACAGGTATCTATTTCACCAACACCCTTAAGGTAATGAGCAAGCTTCACCAACCTTATTCTGCCTGGTGGAAGGACACAATGCAAGAAACAACACAATCAAATGCATTTTATTATGACCAACTATAACCAAAATGCAGGGATGCGGGTGGTGCTGTGGGTTAAACCACAGAGCCTAGGACTTGCTGATCAGAAGGTCAGTGGTTCAAATCCCCGTGACGGGGTGAACTCCCGTTGCTCGGTTCCAGCTCCTGCCAACCTAGCAGTTCAAAAGCACGTCAAAGTGCAAGTAGATAAATAGGTACTGCTCCATCGGGAAGGTAGACCCCATTTCCGTGTGCTGATCTGGTTCGCCAGAAGCAGCTTAGTCATGCTGGCCACATGACCCGGAAGCTGTCTGCGGACAAACGCCGGCTCCCTTGGCCAATAAAGCGAGATGAGCGCCACAACCCCAGAGTCGGTCACAACTGGACCTAATGGTCAGGGGTCCCTTTACCTTTTTATAACAAAAATGCATACTTGAATATCTATGGTGGAATATTTACGATCCAGAGTGTGCTCACTCTGGATGTTACAGGAAAGCTATTGAATGCTAAGATGCAAGCAGTGTTCTGTTGCCATGCCATTCTGATGCTTTACGCGGTTTTCCTAGTTGCACTGACTTGATGCTGTTAACTTTCCTTGGCACAGAAACGGAAAATAGACAATCAGTTGTACAAAAGCAGGTTCCAGTTAGGCCTCTTTGGTCGGGATTCAGCAGTTCTTCAAGGACAGTGGAATTCCTGCCTGTCCATCCCTTCACTGGTTCCTTGCCTTTTCTTCCATTGCACGGAACGTAACTCCGTGGACTCAGCCACTTAGTTGGAGAGTCTTTGGCGGCAGATGGGTTGTTTGTCGTTCTTTAAAGTAGCAATTGCTCTGCCAAGTGTTTCGTTATGTTTTGAAATCATTGTTAGGTGCTTCTGCTGGTGGCGGGGAAACCCAGCCAGATGGGCAGGGTATAAATAACAAATCACCATCATCTCAACTAGGCCCAGGGCCTTTTCAGTACTGGCCCCAATTGGTGGAACACTCTGTCACAAGAGACCAGGGCCCTGCGGGATTTGACATCTTTCCGCAGGGCCTGCAAGACAGAGCTGTTCCGCCTGGCCTTTGGTTTGGACTCAGTCTGACTCTTATGTTTCCCTCCCCTTATGGTTTTGATCTATGGGCTACTATTAAAATGAGGCTGCATTGTAAATTATATTTTAACGTGTATTTTAAATTGGTTTTTTTAAATTGTAATTTTACTAGTGTTAGCCGCCCTGAACCTGGCTCTGGCCGGGGTATAAATAAAAATTTATTATTATTATTATCATCACCATCTCGGGCCCAGGTTAGCAACTAGTATTGTTTATGGGACACTATCAGTGTGGGGGTGACAAGATCTGAAGACCTACTACCACCTCTGGCTAGACTCAGTCTCCCTGTCCAGGAGCAGAGGGAGGGGGGGTGCAGTGGGGGCAGGCTGCCCCAGGTGTCACCACTGAGGGGGGTGACACGGTGCCGGACGGCAGTCACCACAGGGCTGTTGCGTATTTAGCAGATTAATTGCGCTCCGGAAAGTGTGCTGGGGAGACCACACATTCAGGAAACAATGCAATATAAATATATTTTGCTTGGCTTTAATTACAAAATCAAAAACTCCTCTTACATTAAATTACATTACATCTGTAAGTATGATCCATCCATTGACCCATTCACCAGGGTACGGAGAGAGGTACACACTGCTCTTTATATACAGTGGTACCTCAGGTTACATACACTTCAGGTTATAGACTCCGCTAACCCAGAAATATTACCTCGGGTTAAGAACTTTGCTTCAGGATGAGAACAGAAATCAGGCGGTGGTGGCGCAGCGGCAGCAGGAGGCCCCACTAGCTAAAGTGGTGCTTCAGGTTAAGAACGGTTTCAGGTTAAGAACGGACCTCCGGAAGGAATTAAGTACTTAACCTGAGCTACCACTGTATACCCAATTGCTGACAAAAGCTTAAGTAACAACTTAACAGCACCTGCTATACTGCTTCACAGTTGTAAAACTAGGTCATAATATTTGCTCTGGCCTTTAAAGAGATACGCATCTTGTGAAACAATAATGAACCTTAATATTTAAAGAAACCATTCAACAGGGGCCTGCAGCGTGCCCGAGCCATGTGTCTCTCCTGGGAGTGATGCGGTGGCTTGGGCGACTGCAGGTTCCGCGCTCCCCCAAACGGTCTGCCTGCTGCCTCCCCCTCACCTGTGGGGCTGCTGGGTGAGAGGAGGCAGGCAGACTCCTCAGAGGCCCTGCAGAGTGTCCTGTCTTGGCCCGGCCCGCTGCTGTGGGCCCCAGGTGCCCGACTGGCTTGCTCCGCCGCTGTCCCTGTCTCCCGTTACTGCTGGTTTCCTTGTGTTGGCTGGGCCCTGGCCACCACAGGCTCCCCAGCAGAACTCCAGGCTGACATTTCTCTAGATAGAAAGTGGCATACAATTAATACTTCTCAACTGTGACGCATTGATGAAAAGCACCTTCAGAAGCGAACCTGATGTTGCTTCTGGAGAGCGTCTTCTGCACTAATCTCTGTCTCTTCTCTTTGCTAATAGAGGATTCGAGGTCGGAAAGCAACGTTGGACGAGATCCAAACAGTGCATTCGGAGCATCACACGTTACTATATGGAACCAGCCCGCTGAACCGGCAAAAGCTTGACAGCAAGAAATTGCTAGGTACAGTGTCCGGCAGATCACGTGATTCTGTTTTTTCTTGATTCATAATTTGTAACTATTTCTTTAACCATGATGCGTACATGATATTGTATTTCTCTGTGCAGTAGGCAAAGGCGGAAGATTTTGGCTTAAGTTTGGGGAAGAAGGCGTATAGTCCATTGCTTTCCAGGTTCCCCTCTAATATCAAGGCTTTAAGCAAATCTAATTTCCGCTTTAAACCTTTCCTATGCATCTTTAGGGACTAGAAACTTTCTCTTCATATAAAAGCTGCAAGTTTCCCTGAATTCGATGGGTGTGATGGGAATTGCCCTGTGATTATGGCAATAAATAGTCATCTCTGAATACATACATGCACTGAGTGGATGCAGTTTGCTGTGCATAATTTTATCGGCTTCAGCTGGTACAGTAGCAGTGGCCGTTCTTGGACTGCGATAGCTTGATCGCAGTAGTGCAGGCTTTAATGACTTCAAGATGGGATTACTGCAGTGCAGTCCGTGTGGGGCTTCCCTGGTCCTTGATCTGGAAGCTGCACTTAGTACAGAGTGTTGTAGCCCAACTGCCGATGCAAATGAAACACTGTCAGCACAGAAACACCTCTGCTCAGAGAGCTGTGCCAGCTGCCAGTTTGTTACCAGGTCAGATTGAAAGTGTTGGTATATAACAGCTTGATGCCAGCCTACCACATATATATATGTTCACTCAGCTGCTTTGATTTACAGAATTGGCACTTTTACAAATTCATTCCACACATGCAAGGAATTGATATTTCATTGTGGCATCCCCTACACTGTGGAACTCCCTGCCCTTTGATATTAGGCAGGGACATTTGTTGTATTGTTTTTGGCACCTGCTAAAAAACTTTAAAACAAGCCTACCTCTGAACATGTAAATTGGACATGGATTTTAACGTGCAACCGTATTTTATCATGTATATACCTAAAACTACTGATTTCTATCATGTATATGTCCAAAATGGCTGGGTAAGCTGGTTTTTACCATCTGATTTGATTGGTTTTCTTAACGTACGTGCTATACAAACTGCTTCATTGATTAATCATGTGAAATAAATGAATAAATCTATTCGGTGTAAAGGACCTGGTTGTGGCATACAGCTTCTCCAAAGTGAATGGGGACGAAGTGTGCCCATGGAGGGCATGTTCGCTTCCTGCTTTGTGTGTTTTATTATTTTCCCCTCCATCCCTCTCTTTACAGGTCCCCTTACGCCGAAGATGTATGCCGTCCTCCCATGTGGTGGAATCGGGGTGAGTATGTTGCCGTCAAAGCAATTTGCCAGTCAGCGGTTGATGCTTAGGGAAGGGAAGGGATGACGTGGTCCCTCTCACGATCTGATGAAACACTTCTTTGTACTTTTTCACACGTTACGTTTTTTACAGGAACTACTAAATAGGAGCCCACCTTTCCTTGGTAAATCACTTTGCGGGCAAGTTTTATTCAAACTCGGCCCTCCGGATGTTTTGGGACTACAACTCCCATCATCCCTAGCTAACAGGGACAGTGGTCAGGGATGGTGGGAGTTGTAGTCCCAAAACATCTGGAGGGCTGAGTTTGCCTATGCCTGCTTTAGGATGTTAGCTCTCTCTTTCTTCCTGGTTTTTAGAATTTAAAAATTGGGGTGGGGAGGAGAAAAAACAAACCCTGATCCTGTTTTTTTTTTTGTGAGTGTGTGTTTTCTTAAACACAAAAAGTAAATTGAGAACAAAAATGTGGCAAATAGAGATGAATCAAAAGGTGTGTTGAGGTGTTCACCTTGACACATGGGCATCCTGTAGCTGTGAACAGGGAGCAAAGGCACACAGGTAGGCCCTGACTTCGGCGTCCCTGTGTGCCTTGCCCCCCGTGCTCAGTCCCCGGGAAGATCTGCAAGGGGATTGTACCTGCATTCACTTAAAAGTGAGAAGAACTCTGTGCGATCGGGGACACTGATCAAACAGGGTCCCTGATCGCTCGGAGGAGTCTATTCACGTTCCAGGAACATGAGCAGAAACTCCCTGCAGACTTTCCCATGCAACCAGAGAGTGTTGGGAGCTGATGTGCAGGAGGACATTGGGGGAGGGACTTGTGTGTGCATCTCTGCTCCTTGTCCACAGTTCAAGCATGTTCAGGTGAATGACTGATCATGCTTAAGACGTTAAACAAAGCATTGGCAGCGACACCCAATTCGAGCTGACTGTACATTCCCGCAGTGAATTTTGCTGCAAACCTCCGTCTGCAAACCTAGCTGTGGCCTCAGCAAAGGCTCGCTGCTGCCGATCCGTGTGTGTGTGTGGAGTGTGTGCCTTTCCTTTAGGCCCCATTCCCTTGCCGCCAAACCAAGGCAATCTGAACGATACTGCTCTTTTCCCCTCTTGCAGCCCTTAGCTTCTGCCAATGCTTTGCTCTGTACCTTCCACGGCAGGTTGACATCGACACAGTGTGGAATGAGATGCACTCGTCCAGCGCGGTCCGCATGGCTGTTGGCTGCTTGGTGGAGCTGGCCTTTAAAGTGGCGTCTGGGGAGCTTAAGGTAAGTCGGGCTCAATGAATGTGCAGCTTCTCCATGTTGCAGCCCTTGGCCCTCCTCTCCCCTACCTCTAATTCTTGTTCCCAAGCACAGCTGGTTGGACATGGGAGAATTATGCTCATGTGAACCTTGCTCGGTTCCAGCTCACTTTGGCTGCAGTGTGTACAAAAATCCCAGTGATTTAAGCTGTTTGTTTCTGAGCTTGGGCAGAATGTCAATCAGCTCTGATAAGAAGCAGCTTCTAAAAGAGCCCATGTAAGCACTGATATCTCAGCATGTGTAGAATGCCCATTGGTTGGACGCTGGTTTTCCTTTAGGCATCTTGGTGTGCATCTTTTCCCCGAATCCCATTTTTGCTGCACTCCACGATCTCATTTTGTGGGTGGAGGGCTGGCAGACCCAACTTTGGGGTACCGAAAATCAATGGGCTTTTTTATCCCAGGTTTACATCCCACTTTTATCCCACGTTTACATACCCTTCTGAAGCTCACTGTTGTGGCTTAGGACTGACCACCATTTCTCAGCCTAGCCTACCTCATAGGGTTGCTAGGAAGATAAAGTGTGTGTGTGTGTGTGTGTGTGTGTGTGTGCGCGTGCACGCGCACGCGCACACACACACACACACACACACACTGTGTTCACTACCCTGAGGTCCTCGGAGGAAAGTGTCGTGAATCAGAACAAAAAGCAAAGATTAATACATGTGTGAACTTGTGCGTGTGTGTATTTTCCTTCTTGCAGAATGGATTTGCTATTATCCGGCCACCAGGTCATCATGCAGAAGAATCCACAGCCATGTGAGTGTGTAGCATAAATGAGGAGGAGGAGGGATATATGTGATTAACTAGAAACAGACAAATCCTCCTCTTTTGAAAACAATGGTTTAGAGAGATGGGGTGGTTTTCTCACTGCATGAATAATATTTTATGTGTGTTTCTCCCTGTTGGTGTCATATAAGCTGCTTTGGTTTGAAATCCTGTCCTCTCTATTTGAGTGTGGTTCTCATCATGGAATTAAGCACGTCTCTTTCAGGGCTTGGGGATGCAGGTGGCGCTGTGGGTTAAACCACAGAGCCTAGGACTTGCTGATCAGAAAGTCGGCGGTTCGAACCCCTCGATGGCATGAGCTCCTGTTGCTTGGTCCCTGCTCCTGCCAACCTAGCAGTTCAAAAGCACGTCAAAGTGCAAGTAGATAAATAGGTACCACTCCAGCAGAAAGGTAAACGGTGTTTCTCTGTGTTGCTCTGGTTCACCAGAAGCGGCTTAGTCATGCTGGCCACATGACCCGGAAGCTGTATGCCGGCTCCCTTGGCCAATAAAGCGAGATGAGCACCGGAGCCCCAGAGTCGTCCACGACTGGACCTAATGGTCAGGGGTCCCTTTACCTTTCAGGGCTTCTTAGGGGAGCGTCCTACTAGTCTTTTCTGCCTATCTGGGACTGGGATTCCCTGCATCTGTGGAGGAGGGTATTCTGAGCGGGTTACTTCCTCCGACTAGATCCGAGGAGCAGGGCTATGCAAATTTGCCAAGCTTTGCCCATTTATTTTTTGTGTAGGAGAAGCCCACCTCCTCCACCCCATCCCCCTTCAATTCCACTTATGCCTGCACCAGCACAATTCTTTAAAGAACCTGCTGAGTTACTGCTGCACTGAGTGTAATCTGGGAGGTTTTCTATCCTCCTTTCCTGTGGATTAGGTAGTTCAGAAAAGAAAGGAGCTGGACCAAACCTTAGAGTTGGATTCGGACTTAGAATTTCTGCTGGGATCAATGTGAAACGTTGGTCACGTTGACTAGCTTAAGTCCCATTGATTTCAGTGGGACCATGGTCTCAAAATATAGCAACGATTAACTTGCATTACTGCTTCTGGGAGATACAGTATCTTAGTTGAATGGGCATGCCCGAGTCCATGAATGTGGTGGTCAAGCCTGCTATCTGTGCTGTTGCTTTCTTGGCCACCCTTCTCTTGATACTGGGCATGGTGTTTATCATTAAAAAAAAAAGCCAGTGGCAAAGCTGTTATATATTTTTATGGTAAGCAAAGTCTGGTATCTGTGCATAGCTGTCAACTTACAGATTTGAAAATAAGGGACCAGCAGCCTCAAAAATAAGGGATCAGCAGCCAAAATAAGGGATTTTCAGAGCACAGGTATGTTCGACTTCTGAGCCGCTCCAAGCCAAAGGCAGAAAGCCCAGCCAGCAGCCAAACGAAGCCTCAAGTGGTGGTTCCTGCTGCGCAGCAACCCGGCAAAGGGGATGCAGCAAGGAAAACCACCGTCACCTCTCCGCTGGGAAGCGCTGAGCAAAGGCGAGTCCCCAGGCAACACAGCCGATTTGATCGGCACAAGGCATGCAAGCTCCACCCCCAGTCGTTCTTAGACTCCTTATTGGGTGAGCAACACAGCCAAGCAACACAGTTGGAGCCTCCCTCCTCCCTGGCCGGCAGGGAGGGTGGGAGGGAGAGGAGCTTCTTCCTTTGAAACCTGGGAAATTTAAGAGACATCATCAGTAAGGGAGAGCAGCGGGACACGGCGCTGGGGTAAGGGACTTGCCCGCCAAATAAGGGACGGTTGACAGCTATGTATCTGAGCCACTGTAAACACTTTAGTGGCGAACAGGATGTGATGGGATTGTGGAATGCTCCATGTGCATGGGTTTAATTTTTTCAAAAAGCATTCTTTGGTTGCACGTTTTAGGAAGTTTTTCCTAACATGTAGCTGATTGCAACCTATTCTCGCCCTCACTCCACAAACAAGTGAATGAAGCAAAGTAATCACCATCATCATCATCCCTGACATTTCTGATAATACCTTTTCCCCCTTTCATTTTCCAGGGGCTTCTGCTTTTTCAACTCTGTTGCCATTACTGCCAAGCTCCTCCAGCAAAAGCTTGCCATTAGCAAAATCCTCATCGTGGACTGGGTAAGGGTCTCTCACTCTGCGCCTGAAGCTGCTTAGGCTTGGGTTGATGCGTCCTTATTGGCTAACATCTTTCCTGATCCTGAAAGATCTTCATTGGCTCCCAGTACAGTGGTGCCTCGCAAGACAAAAAGAATCCGTTCGGCGATTCTCTTCGTCTAGCGGTTTTTTTGTCTTGCGAAGCAACCCCATTAGCGGCTAAGCGGATTAGCGCTATTAGCGGTTTAGCGGCTATTAAAGGCTTAGCGGCTAAGCTTCTAAAAGCGGCTTAGCGGCTTTGAAAAAGGGGGGGGGAGCGAGAAAAAAATGGCAAGACTTGCAAGACATTTTCGTCTTGCGAAGCAAGCCCATAGGGAAATTCGTCTTGCGAAGCGCCTCCAAAATGGAAAACCCTTTCGTCTAGTGGGTTTTCCGTCTTGCGAGGCATTCGTCTTGCGGGGCACCACTGTACGTTTCTGAGCACAATTCAGAGTGTTGGTGCTGACCTTTAAAGCCCTAAACAACCTCGGCCCTGTATACCTGAAGGAGCATCTCCACCCGCATTTTTCAGCCCAGACACTGAGGTCCAGCGCCGAGGGCTTTCTGGCGGTTCCCTTGCTGCGAGAAGTGAGGTTACAGGGAACCAGGCAGAGGGCCTTCTCGGTAGTGGCACCCGCCCTGTGGAACGCCCTCCCAGCAGATGTCAAGGCAATAAACGGCTATTTTACTTTTAAAAGACAACTGAAGGCGTCCCTGTTTAGGGAAGTTTTTAATGTCTGACGCTTTATTGTTTTTGATATTCGGTTGGAAGCCGCCCAGAGTGGCTGAGGAAACCCAGCCAGATCGGTGGGGTATAAATAAATTAATATTAATATTATTATTATTTATTTCATTCTGCTCTGGCAGGATATCCATCATGGCAATGGCACCCAGCAGGCATTCTACAGCGACCCCAATGTGCTCTATGTTTCTCTGCACCGCTACGACAATGGCAATTTCTTCCCAGGCAGTGGAGCTCCTGAAGAGGTGAGTGCACCTCTGGTGCTTGGTTTTGCCATAATCAAGATGTTGGTGCTGAATCTAGCTTGAAATCCCTCTCTAGGTGTTTTTTTAAAAAACACCCTCTTTTTATTTTTTTATAATAACTTTTATTGATTTTCCATTTTATAATATTTAAACACATCCTCATCATCCCCTTTACTTCTTTTGCTCTAAAGAGCTTTTCGACTCTTTAGTCTCTTGGTTTTCCAAGTTCATCTTTATATCAATAGCATTTATACATTTTCCCATTTACATTTCACTCATTCAAAATTTCGCAATTTTTAAATAAATATAAAAAGGTAGAAACAACTGTCGTTACAAGTCTTCTTGCAACCCTGCTAGTGCTGTTAATTGCTTACAATGGAACTTCAAATATTGTACAAATTTACTCCAGTCTTTTTGAAATGCTTGATCACGCTGGTTTCGGATTTTCCCCACCAGCTTCTCCAGTTCCTAAAACCACCCTCTTTTTAACTCCCTGAAGCATTCACAGATGCATCAGTAAAGGATGCAAAAGCAGGGTGCAAACAGAGGTTGATTTGCGACCAAGAAATCTACATTGGCGTTGCCAATGGAGTTGGCATCAGAATGCACCTAAAGCAGCTCTGTAAAGGAGGGAAGAATTGCAGGAAGAAAGAGAGAAGATTTGAAGAGAAGATTTTAATCAGTTAACTCCGCCATTTTGTTCAGGGAAAGGTTTTGTAGTCCAGGAAACAGCTTGGAGCAGGCAGAGGTTGGAACGTTGCCGAGGTTGCAGAATTCCCCGAAATCCCTGCATATATGTGTGTCCTGTCTCTTCTGACCCCAATCATTTGAGACGGACCGGCATTTTCTCCAGCAGGCATCCTGCATGCTGCTGCTCGTGCCCCTCTCTCTCTTTTGCTTCTCTGTTGTGCTTCTGCATTCTTTCTGGGGTCCATCTGCATGCAAGTCCCCCCCCCCTCAGCCTCAGATGTATGCCAGTGTCCCTTTGCCCCTTCCCACCGGCAGCTCGGTACATGATCCAAGCTGCAAATAAGAGCCAGCATTTGTTACTTACGAGGCTTCTCTCTTCCAGGTTGGCAGCGGGATGGGTGTAGGTTACAACGTCAACATTGCCTGGACTGGTGGAGTGGACCCTCCCATTGGTGACGTGGAGTATCTGACTGCCTTCCGGTAGGCCTGCTGGCATTCACTCTCCCTAACTGGGAGTGGGGCTTTCTCTGCCAGGGGTGCCCACATACTGGGTTTCTGCACTGAGAGGGTTTCCCCCTAAGGGTTTTGTGTACATCAGCAAACTTCAGCGTTCTCACAGGCCTGCCACCGACTGCTCCTTTTATGTGGGTGGTGCATTATGATCAAGGGATGCGGGTGGTGCATTGGTCTAAACCACTGAGCCTCTTGGGCTTGCTGATTGGAAAGTCGGTGGTTTAAAACCGCGCGATGGAATGAGCTCCCGTTGCTCTGTCCCAGCTCCTGCCAACTTAGCAGTTCGAAAGCACACCAGTGCAAGTAGATAAATAGGTAACACTATGGCGGGAAGGTAAATGATGTTTCCGTACACTCTGGCTTCCGTCACAGTGTTCTTTTGCACCTGTAGCAGTTTAGTCCTGCTGGCCACATGACCCAGAAAGCTGTCTGTGGACAAACGCCGGCTCCTTCGGTCTGAAAGCGAGATGAGCGCCGCAACCTCATAGTTGCCTTTGACTGGACTTAACCGTCCAGGGGTCCTTTACCTTTTAACTTTTACCTGCTATGATCACATGAGGAACCAGCACATGGAGAATTGCAATCGCTATTAGGTACACAAGGTAGAAATAAAAATAATTTCACTTCTAATTTGTATGCTGCCTTTCTATATTGTTATACGCCAGGCGGCGTACAAGCTGAAGAAAAAACAAAATACCCAACATAAGACCACACACCTTACAACAACCTGATCCAATACAAAGAAGTTGTAATAAAAACATAGCTTTAAAGTAAACAACATATCAAGTAACATTCAGTGATCTGTTAGATTATCATAGTGCACAATAAAATATCAGCAAGCAATAATTAAACAGAAATTCACTCTTTAATAATCACCATAAGCTATAATGTAGAAAAATAGCAGCAAGTCGCAACACGTGAAATCATTGTGATACATACAAAACAATGCAAAAGGATCAAATTGAGAAACAGAGACAACTTATTTTAAAACAAAAAAAATTCCTTCCAGTAGCACCTTAAAGACCAACTAAGTTAGTTCTTGGTATGAGCTTTCGTGTGCATGCACACTTCTTCAGATACCAATATCTGAAGAAGTGTGCATGCACACGAAAGCTCATACCAAGAACTAACTTAGTTGGTCTTTAAGGTGCTACTGGAAGGAATTTTTTTTGTTTTGACTATGGCAGACCAACACGGCTACCCATCTGTAACCTGAACTTATTTTAAAAACAACATCCCTGAACTCCTCTTCTCTCTTCTCAGCTGCTTCTGCAGTTCTTAAAGCCATGGTCTGGGAAAGGCTCTTAGGGCTGGAGGGTGGGGCAAGGCTGTGAACCGCCCTGAGATCTACAGGTATAGGGCGGTGTACCAATTTAATAAATAATAAAATAAAATAATAAAGCAGTTGGGAAAAGCCATTGCCTGGTGGCCAGCCAGCACAGTCTCTCTCCTCTCAGAAGTCTGGTCCTTCTCTTGTCACTGGCTTCCCCCAAACTGGTGCTCTCCACACGTTTTGGACCATAACTCCCATCATCCATGACCCCATTAGTCATGCTGGTTGAGGATGCTGGGAGCTCAAGTCCAGAATTTCTGGAGGGGTACCAGGTTGTCGGAGGCTGCCCTATCCTAGCCAGAACCTTTTTGATCCAAGTCTAGGTAGGGAGAAATCCAGGAGGAAGCTGCTGTTGGGGCTAGAAAGCAGTAGACCTTTCTGTCGCCTTCTATGATAATCTCACAACCCCCTGACTCAACAGAGATGGGTGTTGGATTGAGTCAGTGTGTTGGGGAAACGAGAAAAGCAGGAAGGTGAGCATGGCTAGAATTTCCCCTGTCAAGAGGATAGGGCAGGGCTGGCGCTGGTGCTGTCGTGTTTCCTCCTAAGAGACCTCTGAGGGCTGTTTTGTGTCTTCCCAGGACTGTGGTGATGCCAATAGCCAATGAGTTCTCCCCAGACGTGGTCCTCGTTTCTGCTGGCTTCGATGCTGTGGAGGGACACCTGTCCCCACTGGGTGGATATTCTGTCACGGCCAAATGTGAGTGTGGGTCATGGGAGAGGGGAGCCCCCCTCGCCTCGGTTTGTAAATAGAACGAGCCATTCACATAGAGCAATGGTTCCCAATTGGGGATCTGCAGTCACCAGGGCGTCCGCGTAACCCACCCAGGGCGTCTGTGGCACCATTCACATGACAAAAACTACCATAGAGATATCAAAATTTTCAAATACAACAGGTCCATGGCTTGACTTAGGAAAACAGGAGGTCTGAGTTACTTAGCTAATTGGGAACCACTGCCTAGGGCTGGGCAATATATCGATATATCGTCTAAAACCGGTTTGAGGTTCACGTCGTGATAATTGTTTCATAGTATTTGAGCTGGCAATATATTGCGAATCACAATGTGTGTAAGGGTTAGGCTATATCTGATTTTTAACATCTCAATAACTCACCAGCTAAACACTGCAATGTTATCAGCAGCTAAGCCTCACAATATCACCAGCTAAACATTGCAATCTGCCACAATGTCTGAATAAGGATGGAAGTATACAGAGGCGAACAGGACAATGTCCAGGCAACTGCTACTACTTAGGAGTCTAAAAAGATAAATGACAATATTATCAATCATCACACACTCAGTTTCATCAGCAGGCAAACCAAAATGCATCCCAACGGCCACAGAATTGTACCCAGAATTGCACGGGACCAGTGGCCTGATTCAACATAAGGCACCTTCTAGCCCTCCTATTTGCTGAACGGTTGTGCTCTGAGCCATTCTGGGCCTATGTTTCTACGCTAGAGATTGTCCCTGGGACTTTATGCATGCATACACTGCCAGTGACCTATGGCCCCTTTGTGCTTGCGCTAGCTGGAGTTCCAACTCGCCTATTATTTATCCATTCAAGCCGCTTAGCCCCCACCTCCCCAATATTTTGAGGTAGCCTATGAATGCAAGTCAAAAGTGGATAATGGCTTACTGGCCACCTGCCTTGCTATGAATGGCTTGTTAAATTCTGAGGGCCACTGTTTTAGATTTCAAGGTGAGCGTTAGTGGCCTCCTCCAGTCTCTCTAACTGAGGGAGAAGGAGGAGTACTGCATCTCAATCAGAAAACGATGGTTTTTCATCTTTCTGGTTTTTCTGTTGTTGTTTTCTTCCCGGCCACACAGGTTTTGGGCACCTGACCAAGCAGCTGATGAAGCTGGCGGGCGGGCGTGTCGTCCTGGCGCTGGAAGGAGGTCACGATCTGACAGCCATCTGCGATGCCTCCGAAGCCTGCGTTTCCGCCTTGCTTGGCCTTGAGGTGAGTGCAGCTGGCACGGGGGGGGAGAAGCAGTCCGGAAGCCTCGACCTGCTGGCTTGGGACGATGCCCAAAGCTTTTGGGCAATCTTTGGCCGAGGTTCTGAAAAGAGGTCTGGCACTGATTTGCTTCGTGGGGTGGGAAAGGCAGAGAAAGGCATGTCTGTCCTGGCACATGAATGCCCGCCAGTTTCTGTTTATATATGCATTCGGACGTCTGCCCTGCTGATGGCACCTCCACAAGGCCCAGCTGGAAATCGGTGCAGCTTGTCCACTTCGGTGGCCGAAAACAGGGAGCTGTGTGTTTGACTGCTGCAGTTTAGGACACAGCCAAAAATTGCATGGAGAAAAAAGATTGTGCAGTGCCACTTAGTGTTTTATGGGAGTAGGTGAGGACAGGCCCCTGCCCCAAAGAGCTTGCAAGTCTAAAGGTTTTCCAGCTTGGTGAAAAGGCCTCTGCCTGAGGTGTTGTTATGTGTTGTTTTTAAACCTATACTAGTAAAGTGGTACCTCTGGTTACGTACTTAATTCGTTCCGGAGGTCCGTTCTTAACCTGAAACTGTTCTTAACCTGAAGCACCACTTTAGCTAATGGGGCCTCCTGCTGCCGCCGCGTGGTTTCTGTTCTCATCCTGAAGCAAAGTTCTTAACCTGAGATACTATTTCTGGGTTAGCAGAGTCTGTAACCTGAAGCATATGTAACCTGAAGCGTATGTAACCCAAGGTACCACTGTATGGGTTTGTGACATTTTTTAAGCTGTTTATATTTCTGTAAATTGCCTTGGGAGATGTATTTTGAAGGAGATTCACAAATTAAAATAATAATGGGAATAATTCAACATGGGGGCAGACAACCGAGGGAAGCAGAGGAGGAGGAGGAGGAGGAGGGCAGAGGTAAAAAGGGGGAGGATATGCCTTGTTTTGGGGCGTGTGAAGAGTTGCTCATTCAACACGGCAGCGGAGTGTGCCAGTGGAACAGAAAAACACCAGACAGTTCTAGGTAGGGTCAGTCCCTTTTCAGACCGTATAATGCAGTTCCACATCTTATAGGTTATATTACAATCCTTCAAGCAGCGTACAGACTCCTTACTGCTTTCCAACACAGACTAAGCTCTGGCCAAGAGCAAACTTGCTTCAAACTCAAGTGTATTTATACTTTAGATTGTGCCGAGTCACTCTCACATGCTTGCTGACTCGCTCTTGCAGGTGCAGGACAAGCACCCTACCCAAAATTAACCAGCCCACCTATAACTTAACCCTTTCTTGTCCTTTTTCTCTGAATTCATAAACATTAACATGCTTTTCTTTCAGGTTATAAGTACTGACAGAAGGAGGAAGGGACCAAGGCAGGGGTGGGGGACCTGGGCGGCCTTCCAGATTTTGTTGGACTACAACTCCCATCAGCCTTGACCGTTGGCCATGCTGTCTGGCGGGGATGGGAGTCCAACAGCATCTAGAGAACTGCACAGGCCTCCCATCGCTGGTCTAAGGCTTCACAAGAAAGGAATCTCCATCAGGCCCTGCTCTTTGACCTTTCACCTGCGGCCTCCCCTCCCCTCCTCTTAGCTTTGCGCTTTTGTTTCTTGCCTGCCTTTCCTGCCCCTTCTTCCCCACTCACAACTTCCAGTCAGCTTTGAGTCCTCAGATCTTTCAGCGTAGAAACTGAGCGCTCTCTTTTCTCTCTCTCTCTCTGACACAGCTGGAACAGATGGATCAAGCTCTGTTGCGGCAGAAGCCCAATGCAAATGCTGTGGCCACACTGGAGAACGTCATTGAAATCCAGAGTAAGATTTTGTCGTATTTCTGATACCAAATTAACAAAAGGATGGAATGTTGCAGATAGGGGTTTGCTAAAGCACTGACAGTTGTACCTTGGAAGTCAAATGGAATTCATTCCGGAAGTCCTTTTGACTTCCAAAACGTTCGAAAACCAAAGCACAGCTTCTGATTGGCTGCAGGGAGCTCCTGCAGCCAATCGGAAGCCCCGCCAGACGTTCAGCTTCCAAAAATAGTTTGCAAACCAGAACAGTCCCTTCCAGGTTTGCAGCGTTCAGGAGCCAAAATATTTGGCAACTAAGCTGTTTGACTTCCAAGGTACGACTGTATTGATCCTCTCACTATGGCCCTAAGACGAGTGACAGCAGCGCCCTCTGTGGCCAATATGGGCTTGCTATTGTTCAGTGTATGGGGAGACTTTGAGGACAGTGTGTTTAAAGCTGTTCCCGCAAGTGATACCAAGGACAGAAGTTACCGTAAGTAAAGGTTGTGGCATTAAGCATGTGCACCCACAACAGTTTCTGCAGCTTGCAAAAAGTTGACTCCTGCTGTGCCCAAGCTTGGTTATAGTAGGAGATTGTGGTTGGGGAGTTCAGGGACGGCGTCCTAAGACTTTACAAAAAAAGAAGGAAGGAAGGAAGGCTTTTGTGCATAGATGGAAAGAGAGGTTGGAATCGCCTGAGTGTTCTGGGAGGGCAGCTCCAGAAGTTCAAACGGGACAGGCCATTCCTGCATGACGCATTGCTCCTTTTCGTCTCAGGTAAGCACTGGAACTCAGTGAAATGTTCTGCAGCGATGGTCGGCTGCTCCTTGCTGGAGGCGCAGAAGGGTGAGGCAGAAGAGGCCGAGACGGTCAGTGCCATGGCGTCGCTGTCAGTGGACACAGAGCAGGGCAAAGCAGACGGTGATGTCCGGTATGTTCGCTCCTTTAGATCAGGGGGAAACCGTATCAGAGGGCGCAGGCATCTTATCACAAGTGTTTTCGGTCAAGGGTAGTCAATGCATTGCCCTGTGGAAGTACAAATCCCATCATCCCTAGCCATTGGCCATGCTGGATGAAGGCTGGTGGGAGTCGGAGCCCAGCAACATCTGTAGGGCCACAGGTTTCCTGTCTCTGTCCTTAGCGGCCTAGGACCCTCGTACCTACGGGACCGCCTCTCCCGGTATGCCCCACGGAGAGCCTCAAGGTCCATAAATAGCAACACCCTAGTGGTCCCGGGCCCTAAGGAAGTTAGATTGGCTTCAACCAGAGCCAGGGCCTTTTCAACTCTGGCTCCGGCCTGGTGGAACGCTCTGCCTCATGAGACCAGGGCCCTGCAGGATCTGATTTCTTTCCGCAGGGCCTGTAAGACAGAGTTGTTCTGCCTGGCCTTTGGCTTGGAGCCAATTTGATTCCCTCCCCCTCTTTCTTTTTTCCTTTCTCCTCCTGTGATGAGGCTGCATTTTAATATTTTAATGTTTCAATAATTTAATTGTATTTAATTTTGTTTTTAAGTTGTATTCATTCAACTTGTTTTTATTATTGCTTGTTAGCCGCCCTGAGCCCGGCCTTGGCTGGGGAGGGTGGGGTATAAATAAAAAGTATTATTATTATTATTATTATTATTATTATTATTATTAGCGCCTCTGACTTCTGAGTGCTCTTTCTGCTCAGCTTCCCAACTCCTGACCTTGCCTAACTGCTTCCTACCTCATAGCTCAGTGGTGGAGCACATGGTTTGTAAGCAAAAAGGTCCTGGGTTCAACCCCCATCATCTTCAGGTGAAGCCCTGGAGAGCTGCTGCCAGCCAGTGCAGACAGTGGTCTGACTCAGTATAAACCAGCTTTCCTTTCTTTCTGTGTATAAGGCCGTTGTCTTCATCCTGAGCGAACCTTCCGTTTTTCTGACCACCATGCTGGCTTTCAGCACGTTGGCGATTGGCCCCTTCCGCCTCGGCAGTTAAAATATTTCTTGAGCCTTCTCTGACATCACGGCTGTAAAGCCCAATAGCTGCATCCGCCTCTGGGCCAATGGGAGGCCAGTAACCAGTTGTCCTATTGTCTTCTCCCTCCAGGCCAGCAGAAGAGCCAATGGAGGCCGAGCCCGTGTTGTGAAGTGCCAAGACTTTGATTTGTGTAGCTGTCACTCTGTGGGTTAATTGGTAATTCTGTGAGTCCATTTAAAAAAACAGCAGCAGCAGCAACAGCAACAACTACTACGAATTGATTTTTTTTTAATCTATTAAAAAAAAAAGGAAAAAAAAGAGTTGCACTGGACAAAACGAGCCCATGTGTGTATGTGTGTGTGTGTGCGTGATCGCGTCAGTCTCCTGGCATATGTTCTCACCAGCATCACCATTTTGTCCTAACTCTTTAAGGGTTTTTGTGAGGGGAATGGTGGTGAGGTAGGGGCTTTCGTGCAAGCATCTCCTCTCTTGTTCCATTCTTAAGACATCATTCCCTCTCCCTTCCTGCTCCCCCGCCTCCCTGGCCGCTAAACTCACCCCCTTCTCAGGGTTGGTGCAAGCCATTTTGCTACCCTAGGTAACAAAAAAATAATTTTCACACACACACATACATATATATATATATACACACACAAACACACACTACATTTCTTCCTTGGAGGTTGTCCCAGTTTCAGATTCTCTCCCCTTAACTTCACGCAAGTGGGTTATTATTATTGTTGTTCTTATTTTGCTCCATTCACTTGTTTGTGGAGTGAGGGGCGTAAGAGGTTGCAGTCAGGAAATCTGGGGAGGGGGCTTGCAATTGCTTCCACACCTCTCTCGGGTCTAGGGCAGGAGCGGGGAGTTGCGCGTCCCCCTTTAGGGATTTCCCAAGTCGCCTGGAGCACCCTTGGGACTCTTGCTGCCCTAGGCAGCCACCTGTACTGCCTCTTGGGTTGGGCCGGACCTGCCCCTTCTTGCCGAACCTGTCCCTGAAATGCCATTTCTCTGCTCCGGGTTTTTGCACATTGAGATGGGCATCCGAAAGCAAACCCACCCCGCTTCCCAAATGCCTTTCCCCCTGCCTCCAGTTCCTACCCTTTGGCAGTTTCTCACTTCTTCCCCCTCTCCTGCGACGTTCGATCCAAACAGTTTTGGGTTCAAATCCTACCTATGTTGCCTCAATCGCGTATCTTTCTCCCGACCCATTTCAGCTGTTTAAAAAAAAAAAGTGTTCCTCAGTATTGTATAGTCCTCCTGAATTAATCTCTAGGAGAAGAAACCCCCCGAGGTAGAGGAGAAAGGGGGGAGAAATAAAAAGTGTGCCTTTAAGTCGTTTTTGTTAATGCCTTAAATTCCCTGTGAGGTTTGCTTCTCCTCCGCCATCCCTTCCTCTTTCCCTCCCTCCCTCCCACCATCCCTGCTTAAGTTAACCATCTCTAAGGGAGATCACCCTGTACAAACGTGGGAAGGAATCACGTGTAAATCCCCAGCACCAATGCGCATTGGGCCTGATCCAGCTGTAGCTGTAAACAAAGGGTTATCAAGCAAACTAGTCTGGGGACGATGGGTTTATCGATTCAAACACACGCTAAGAGAGAGCTTTCCAAACGGTGTGTTGCGACAATGTTAAGTGTGTTGGCTGCAGGCGCTCCCCGCGCTCCTCCTGGGGCTGGAAAGGGGTTCGTTTAACCTCTGGTTTGCTAGTAAAACTGAATTACCGTGTCACGAAATGTTGGAGAGCCGAATGACTGTGTCACAGAATGATGCATGTCCAAAAAGTGTGTCGCCAAACTTGAAAAATTTGGAAAGCTCTGCGCTAGGATGTTCGTTCAGAGCAATGCAATGCAGAATCTGATTTGGTGCCTACATTCCCAATCTGGCAAGCGATATCTCCATACAGGCCTGTTTACGAGCGTGCATCTACCTTAGCTGGATCATGCCATGTGTCATTAAATCCCTTTTGTAATGAAGATAACTGCTTATGTTGATTGTTTCATGACCAATGCTTTCTTGAGGATTTCTCTCTCTTCTTTCCTCTCTCTCTCTCTCTCTCTTTCTCTTTCCTCCTACTTCCCTCCGTCATCGTTCGAAAGATTCCTCGTCATTTATTGTAAATAATTTGATTTCTTGTATCGCGTGCACAAACTTTGTTTCGATGAAACTTTTTTGTCCATTCATAAAGAAAAAGAAAAAAAGGAGAAAAAAAAGAAAAGAAAAAAAGGAGAGAATTTCTTTGCTGTCACTTCACCAGCCAAAAAAAGAAAGAAAAGAAATGAAATGAAAAGAAAAATGTTTTGGGGCAGGGGAATAAAAAAAACCATAGAGCAATTTTAGCTTTTAAAAGAAATGGATATAAAGGAAAAAAAAGGTATATAATTTTATTACAGATGTATTATTTAATAGTATTTTTTTAACTTGTACCACCAAACTCTCCTTTCCTTTGGAAAGTTGCTAGCAGGGATAAGGCAACAAGGGAGAAGATGGGGCTTGGTATTGTTTTCACTAATTCAGGGCAATGGGATTTCTAAGCTGTGCGTGGTGGGGGAGGGCACTGGGGATGGGGGGGGGACGGGACATTGTGTGGAATGTGAGACTGTGATGTGTTTTTTAGCTGCACTTACGGTTGTTATCCTTGCCAGGGTCTGCTTTAGGGATCCTCTGGGTTTGCTTTGGTTTAATTCATCCAAGGGTCCCATGTGGGAGAGGTGGAGGGTTGCAAAGGTGCTCCATCCCATGATGGAGGTGATCACACACATAGCCATGATGAACAAAAAGAGTGGGGCTAGTAGGCAGGTCTTCCCTTCCTTCCTTCCTTCCTTCCTTCCTTCCTTCCTTCCTTCCTTCCTTCCTTCGGAGCTGTGGGAGACAGCCAGTAGAGGGAGCCATAGAACTTGCCCAGGGCAGAAAAGACATTCGTTGCCCTGGTTTTATTTATGAGGCACAGCCCATGCAAGATCCTTGCAGTGCCCAGCATGCAGAATGCCTTCCAAGCCAGGGAGAAGGGAAGTGGGGATGCAGACCTCACCCATCAACACGAAAATATATGTTTTGGCCCATCAGGGTACCAGGGGGCAGCCTGGCCACTGCTAGGAAGCGTTTAGTCACAGGTGCAGCAGTGGGTGGGTGAATGTACATGTGCTCATCCTTCTGCTGCTTTAAAAAACGAACATGGGTTGGACTCCAGAGTACATAAGCTCAGGGATGGGGGACTTGGTTGGTTTCCCAGCTCCCACTGACCATTGGGCCACGCTTGGCTGGGGCTGGTGGAGCCCAACAAAGTGAGAGTCACAAGTTCCCGTTCACTGACACAAGCAGAGCACCACCCCACCGCCTGTGGGATAAAGCCCAGGGTTATACATGTTTTGCCATGCTGCTGCTCTTGCGTGTATGGAGTATTTTCAGCTGCTTTGGGTCTCCGAGTTTCAGGGGAGAAAACAGGCTAAGACGTGGAAAAAATAAATAGCTCATCGTGGTCTGTTTCTGCAGACGGCAGTCTTTTGCCCTCCTATTTTGTTTTGACTAGAGACACAAAAATGAGAGATAAGTCACGGAAAAGGCAATGAGGTCAGGAACAGGCCCCTCTGTAGCTGTGGCCTGAAACACCCCTGACCCTCCCCTTAAATTAGAGCCACCCCAAGGCACCTTTTGCCTTCGGGTTTTGTTCTTTGTTTTTAAGCTGCCTTGTCTTTATTTGGTTGCTGGTTTTGCAGATTCTTGTCCACCCTTCAAAGGCTGTGGCGCTGACATGATGAGAGGCAGGAACGGGCAGTGTGTGTGTATGTGTCTGTGTGTGCACGCAAAGCTAGCAAGAGGTCTATTTGGAAAATAAAAGGTGGGAGAGAAAATCCTCACGTGGATGAGGTTCAGAATTCGTGCATCAGAGCAGGGATGGGGGAACCTGCGTCCCTCCAGGTGTTGTGTTGAGGTATGACTCCCATCAGCCCCAGCCAGCGTGGTTCCCCCAGTAGCCGGGGATGATGGGAGTCGTCGGCAAACAACATTTGGAGCGCCACGGGTTCTTCCCTTCCCTGGCAAAGAGAAACTTCTGTGGTTAAATTACCCAGTGTGTTCATGTTAGATACTGAGGACCCTCTAAGCATGAATCCAGCTAACTGAGCGGCGAGAGATATGGCAGTGTTCCCCCTTAACTTCTGATCAGTTCTTAATTTCATACCTTTTTAAATCCATGTACATGCACAGGTGTACATTTTGCAGGAATAGTGAGGAAAAATAAGCCATATGGGGAGAAGGAGAGGGAAGCAGTAAAATGTATCCTAGCCAGAAATCCCTTTATATTTGTCTCAGTCGTCATTGCAAGACAGGTGATGCCCCCCTCTACTTCTGAAGCACCAGACCCGTTATCATCACCATTGCTGCTTATTTAAGATGTTTTAACCTGTGTTGTAAACCGCTTAAGCTAAAGGAAACCGGTATATAATAAATTGTCCCCCCAAATAATGAGCAAATAAGTGCAACAGCAGGAGATGTGCTTGTGGGTGACCCATGCCTTTTAAAAAGGCCATCCCATAAGATGACCTGACTTCAGCACCTCAGCACCCATAGATAGCTCTGCTTGGGCTTTCAGAAGAGATCTTTCTCGTGGTAGCAGCCCTCTGTTGCTGCAAGAAGCGGCACCGTGCTCCCGACTTTTTGCTCCTCCTCGGCCTCCGTGCTGCCCTTGTAAAACTCAGCGGGCAAGAGGGTCAGGGCAAAAACGAGAATGAGTTGGCTGTGGCTCCACCTCCTGCTGACCTCTCTGCCTTCTGCCTCAGTGAGCAACAGCCACCACCTGCTCCAGAACAGGGATAGGACCAATTCCTGAGGGTAGGTTCATTTGAGAGCTTCCCACATCTCCACCTTGTACCTTTTAGAGTGGAGAGATGCACCTTTAAACAGGACTTTGCATGGGGTGAGTGTCTCACCTCCCCCCAGAGGGAGCCTGGTATTTCCCAAATATCTTCCAAGTGTCATTGACAGATCAGTGATTTGAACAGTGAGCTCAGTTGGCTGTGCTGTTCCTCCAGTCTTCAGATGAGTCTTTTTGTAAGAAATAAAACGAGAGCAGCGTGAACATTTATTCATTTAAATGCAGTGCTTTTTTTCTGGGGGGGACACAGACCCCTAAATCTTTGTACTTTTGTCCATTTGCTGTATTTATTTCCCCCGATTTGAACTATAAAATGGTGATTTCCTTCAGTCAAAATGAGAGTACCCCTAAACATTTTTTAATAGAAAAAAGCACAGTTTAAATGTTTCTCGCTTCGTGTATTTATTTTTTTTAAAAAGAACTGCATCTGAAAAGCAGCTATGGCAATGGGAGCGGAGGAAGGTTTGTGACATCCCAGGCACAAGCCAATCGGCACTGTTCGCCACAGTATGGCAGAACTGATTGCCATGAACTCGATTCTGCGCAAGGACTTCCACATCTGTGTACAATAGTGATTGTGCTTCCGTAATGACTCGGCTGCTCCAGTAACGCACGTCTTCACCTGTCCTTAATTTAGGCTTAGTCAAATGTACAACACCCAGTAGATTTGAAAGGGAAGTACAATGTGGCGTGTGGTTTTGCAGCCTCCCCAGTGCAGATGGCTCAACAAAGTCCCCTGAATGGCTTGCCTAAGCTGTCATTTCTGCTGTGTGGAGAAGCAGGGAAACAGGCTTTGCATCTTTATTGCGTAGCTTGCAGAAATTTCATGCAGTGCCTCCCGCAAGGCACCTATCTGCACGCCCCTGACACAAAGGTCTTGCACTCTACATCTTCACTAGCTTCACAGTAGATAGATAGATGGATAGATAGATATTTGTGATATCACACTACAAATACCTGAAGGCCTGTCACACAGAAGAGGGCAACTACTTGTTATTGGCTCCCCCCAAAGGGGAGGAGTAGATCTAATGGACTTCTTACAAGTGGGTAAATTTGGGCTGAATATTAAACTTCTTGGTTAATTGTAAGTGCACTTCTAATACAGTGGTACCTTGGTTCCCGAACGGCTTAGTTGACGAACAAATCAGCTAGCAGACGCCGCAAACCCAGAAGTAAGTGTTCCGGTTTGCGAACGTTTTTCAGAAACCGAACGTCTGTTTTGGCTGTTGGTGTTGTTTCCAGGGCCAATTGGAAGTCGTGCCTTGGTTTTCAAACGTTTTGGAAGTCAAACAGACTCCCGGAACGGATTGAGTTCGAGAACAAAGGTACCACTGTACCTCAAAAGAGTTTGGGGTTCTTGATTCCCCCACTTTGAGCAGGAGATCGGACTTGACAGCCTACTAGATCTCTTCCAACTTTCAGTCAGTGCAAATAACAGCAACAACGCCCATCCTTTTAGATAAGCTTCAGCAACCTAAACTTCAACATTAAAAGCAGTTAAAACAATTAAATTACTACCGATGGATGGATGGGTGCTTGCCATGTTCTCCCTTGCAATCCTGGAATAAGTGCACTTGCCTGTTTTCCCTCTAGTTAACATTTTGAGCCACTTGCTATCAGCAGCAAAAGTGGGGTTTTTTTTGGGGGGGGGCGGATCAGTGTATATGCAAGGATTTGTTTGGATAGATGCCATCACACTCCCAGTTTAAAATACGCCCATAAATGCCCCTTTGGAGGATCAAGGAACTTTTCTTGGTGATATTTCGAAGGAAGTGAGGATTTATCTAATTTAAAGAGCGGTGTCAGTTTCCTGAGGGAGCCTTCCTTGGGGGCATGGAACGAAGCTATAAAACCACATACACTTTATATGCTGCTGGCCTGCCCTCCCATCTCCAGTTGCAAGTTTGAATTCTGGTTGTGGATAGAGAAGTTAACCTAAGATCTAAGTTCCTGGGTGTGAGGCCTGGTGCCCTACAAAGATAGGAGTGGTTGACTAGGCCAGGCCTAACTCCTGAATGCCCTCAATCATGGCCCAAAATTTGTATTGACCAATGGCAGACGGCCTTTGTATGACTGATATTGAATGCTGTTGTCATTGGCCAATCAAAATTCTTTTGTGAAGAGTTCCTCCTCATCCACTCCTCCAGATAGGAACCTTGAAGTATCCCACACGCCTTCCTTTTTCTGATGGTACCAGGATGAGGATGTTGTCTTGGTTGTTAAGAGCTAGAGGACGCTCAAACATGGTGTTTGAGAAACCTCGTCCTCATGAATCCAGACTTAAGTTGCAATGAGGTTGTTCGTCATGACTTGACATAGTTCCCGCTGAAATCAGTGAGGCTTTTAGTGCAGGGTTCCCCAAACTTGGCTGTCTTTTCTGTTTTTGGACTAGAACTCCCATCATCCATAGCTAGCAGGACTCATGGTCAGGAATTATGGGAATTGTAGTCCAAGCTTGGGAAACACTGCTTCAGTGAACTGAACACAGCAACAGGGAACCTGCAGCCTTCTAGGTGCTATTGGACTACAACTCCCATCATCCCTCACCATTGGCTATGCTGATGGGAGATGAAGTCCAACAGCAAGTTCCCCTTTGCCGATTGAACCCAATGAGTGTCCTTAGCTGGAGTGCCGTCAAGGTAGCTCACTGGTTTGACACAAGCCAAGGTAGATGTCTGCTAGTGCAGAATGAAGTGGGAGCAGAGGTGTAATAAAGAGCAGGGACAATGAGGAAGCCTCTTATTTGAATCAGGGCCGTGGGGTTTGCTGTGGTCAGGTCTGTGGCTGGTCATAGAGAGAGGCAGTTGCCCAGAGTGCTCAAGTCCTTCCTGTCCACCCACAAAGGAGATGCAGGCGTTTCCTTTGTCCTCGTTAGCAGGCATTTCCCTGACCCACATCTCCTTTTCGCAGGTCCACCAAGGGGCTTGTGGAAAGCTGCCGTGCAGGCCCAGAGCTCTGCGCAAGGCTGCATGCTTGCTTCTGTCCCTATGGCTAAACTCTGCCTTGCACACTGGGGCTTCCACATGTGGATGTGAAGCGGCAGCATGTTGGAGGGCGAGCCATGGATTTTCATGTGCATTGTGGTTGTTCCCCCCGCCCTTCCACGCTGCACATGTTTTGTGTCCAGTACGCCTGTTTCTGCACCGACACGGCTTTCACGTTCATGGTTTTCGTTAATGCTGGTATCAAATGAAATCCCACCATTGGGATTGTACGGCTCGTTCACCCAGAGCAATAGAAACTCCAGCTAAAGCTGAGGTCAGGCAGTGTGTGTTCCGCAGAACTCGCAGGTAGGGCTTGTCACGTCTACATTTTTCCACCTCCTCTTTTTTTTAGGGTGGGTGGGAAGACAAATAGCCACCAGCCATATTTTGCATCTTGGTTTATTTTTTTTAATTATTTCTAGGGGGAGGAGGGTGGGAAGTCAGAACTGGCCAAGAGTAGCAACTCCTTCGAAAAGCCATGAGTCTTTAGGACAACAGCATGGAACAAGTTGTGTGTTTGTGTGTGCGTGCGTGCGTTACAGCTCCTGTTTTGTGGAAGATTCCACACCAGTATTAAGTTGCCAAGGGGGCTGTTTCCGTGGAGGGGAAGAGGGACTTTGTCAAAAAAACACAACACCAATCCTCTAACCAGCCCCCTTCTCATGTTGTTGAAAGATGCCCCCACAAGTGGGAATAACTGTAATTTTATTTTATTTTTCCTGCTTTTCCCCTCCTGCTTTCTGTCTCTTTCTCTTTCTCTCTGTTTTATCTCGCTCTGGATACAATTTTCAGTTGAGTATTTTGTAATATGTTCCAATGTTTGTCCTTGTGTAAATAAAATTGTTTCTGGCAATATCCCGTTGTAGAATTGATGTGTGGAGGAACTGTCTGGGCTTTTTCCCCCCTATGTGAGTCTTGTGTCCACTTCCCAGACTAGCAGGACCCAGCGGCTAAAATGTGTGAATGTCTGTCCTGAATATCCCACCCGTTTCGCTTCACTGGATCGTCCCTGGTTCTGCTGTTGGCAGAGAGAAAGAAAAACTACACGTGCCTCTGGGGCAGGAGGCGTTTCTAGAACAAGAAAAGCCAACTTGGGACTGTATACACAACCGTGCATTTAAGCCACATGACACACACATACCCCAAGAATCTAGGGAAACATAGCTTGTTAAGGTTGCCAGGAATCGCAGCTCTGCAACAAGTAATCTATAGTTCCCAGGATTCTTTAGGAGAAGGCATGTGCTTTAAATACTGTATTTTTCGCTCTATAAAACGCACCAGACCATAAGATGCACCTAGTTTTTGGAGAAGGAAAACAAGAAAAAAGATATTCTGAATCCCAGAAGCCAGAACAGCAAGAGGGATCGCTGCACAGTGAAAGCAGCAATCCCTCTTGCTGTTCTGGCTTCTGTGATAGCTGCGCAGCCTGCATTCGCTCCATAAGACGCACACACATTTCCCCTTACTTTTTAGGAGGGAAAAAGTGAGTCTTATAGAGCAAAAAATACGGTATATGGTGTGTATGCAAGCATGGTGTCCTCCACATCTTGCTGGATCACGACTCCCATCATCCCTGACCATTGGCCATGTTGGCCGGGGCTGATGGGAGATGGAAAAATGTAGCACCCGGAGGCTACCCCCTGTGCTAGAGACTCTGTGGACAGAGCTGGATCCTGAAAAATGACGATGATTTGAACTCACACAGCTTTAATAAATGTACCTTCCAAAGGCAAAAATGGGGACAAAACCGAGATAGTGATTTGCTAGGGATACCAGAAAAGAGGCAACCTATGCCTCTTTTGAGGGACGCGGGTGGCACTGTGGGTTAAACCACAGAGCCTAGGGCTTGCCGATCAGAAGGTCGGCGGTTCGAATCCCCGCGACGGGGCGAGCTCCCGTTGCTCTGTCCCTGCTCCTGCCAACCTAGCAGTTCGAAAGCACGTCAAAGTGCAAGTAGATAAATAGGTACCGCTCCGGCGGGAAGGTAAACGGCGTTTCCGTGCGCTGCTCTGGTTTGCCAGAAGCAGCTTAGTCATGCTGGCCACATGACCCAGAAGCTGTACGCCGGCTCCCTCGGCCAATAAAGCGAGATGAGCACTGCAACCCCAGAGTCGGCCACGACTGGACCTAATGGTCAGGGGTCCCCTTTACCCTTATGCTTCTTTTGGAATTTTTAAAAAAAATCCAAATGTTCACAAAGCAGGAATACAAATGGGACCTGAAACAACAGGGTGCAAAGTGGGAGTGCTGCAGTTCAGGGTTTGAACCATCCATGGATTCCCCCCCCCCATTCCTTCCTTCCTCTCTCTCTCCCCCCCCCCCACGTTTTTCCAGTCATCCAGTATTCTGTGCCCACTGAGCAAACTTCGCCTTACCGATACCTTCCATCTGCCTGTGTCATTTTGTCTATATAGAAGTATCCACATTTGGAGGGCGGATGCACTGCTAGTTTATCACCAGTCTTCTCCCAAACTTGTACACGTGTGAGATTTTGCCCCAGGCCTCTCATAAATCCCCACTGGTTTTCCTTGGCTGCAAGCTTTGTCTGTTTTTCCACAGTTCTCACTAGTGGATATGCCAGAGGCGGAGGGAGGCAGTGCAAAACACAGCCTGAATGCTGTGAAAACTTATTTGCAACAGCAGCTTTCTTTTTAATAAAAGACTTCTATATCCTATGCTCCTTTAAAAAAAAAAAAGTCTAGCAACTCCTTCAGATTCCTTCTCAAAAGCATGTGCTGGCAAATTACTACATGACAAGCTGTGAATGCAAACTTTATTATGATACCAATATTCAGGATTGATAGATACAGTGCTTTTTTTTTTTCCTTTAAAAAAATGTCTAGGGGTACTCTCATTTTCCTACTCCTATTGAAATACTGCCCCTCAATGAGGCCAAATTTAGATTCACAAAATGTTTAGGGGTATGCGTCCCCCCAGGGGAAAAAATCACTGGATAGATAGATAGATAGATAGATAGATAGATAGATAAGCTTTGGCAAAAACTGGAAGAAACAAAGGGAAGGAAGTCTTAAGACTACGGATGGGGAAACCTATGTTGGATTTAACCCCAGCCAACACAACCAATGGTCATGGATGATGGGAGTTGTAGTCCTGCAACAGGAGGAGAACCACAGGTTGCCTTAGGCAGCATTACTCAGTCACTTTTTCTGGTGCGCTGGACCCAAAATGCCAAGGCAGTGCCCCCAATCCATGCAGGTATGGCTTTTTGCGATTGCCGACCCTGTTTTAAAACCGTGGTTGTAGCTTGCAAAACAGAAAGATGGGGTGCTAATCCGTTGTGTGCAAGCAAGTTGGCGAGTTTCTTTAATTTTCTTAATGCGCGTACAGTCATGATGGCTAAGTAATGCGCCGACAACGACTGAAGGGAGGCAAAGGCTTAGCTAGCCAGCCTTAAAGGCTGTGCCAGTATATTGCGACTACAGTGCTTCCTAAGCAACTGGGACTTACCGTATTTTTTGCTGTATAAGACTCACTTTTTCCCTCCTAAAAAGTAAGGGGAAATGTGTGTGCATCTTATGGAGCGAATGCAGGCTGTGCAGCTATCCCAGAAGCCAGAACAGCAAGCGGGATTGTTGCTTTCACTGCGCAGTGATCCCTCTTGCTGTTCTGGCTTCTGAGATTCAGAATATTTTTTTTCTTGTTTTCCTCCTCCAAAAACCAGGTGCGTCTTGTGGTCTGGTGCGTCTTATAGAGCAAAAAATACGGTAGGTGGAAAGCAATGAGTGATGAGGTGGCCTGTTTCCCCTTTGAGGGAAATAGGGGAGTTCGATTCTCCCAATGTTTATGTCTTGCGGTCGTCCATGAAACATTTCCATAGGTATGTAGTAGAAAGGGCTGTTGCAGTCACGTCAAATCTTTGGGGGTGTTAAAATGCCTCAACACCCATTAATCAGCCGAAAAGAGTGCAGTGGTTTTTAAAAATGGGATTCTCTGCCCAGCAAAGGGGGATTCAAGGGGAGGTGGTGGGTTTTTTGGTAAGGCTGTTTTATAGACGAGGTCAGACTGAGTGAACAGACTCGTTTTACTTGAGGAAATCTCTCCTCTGTTGGAAAAATCTTACCTCACGATGGGAGGAACAGGGCCCCGAGGGTAAAGCAAAGGGTTGCTGTGGGCTTCCTTGCCTATGTCTCCCCTGCCGGCTACTCTCGGTGGGGCGGCCCCGTGCTGGAGGTCAGAGCGTGGAACGCTTTGGGGAGCAGCGCGATCACCACCCACGGGAAGATGGCATACTTCGCAAAACTCAGCCCGTACCAAAGAGCCACGTTCTGCGGCTGGGCCACGTCGCTCAGCAGCCGCAGGACCACGAGGGACAGCGCGGCGCAGCAGAGCCTCTGGGACCAGCCGGGCCTCTCGCCTTTGAGCTGGGTGTAGTACGACGACTGAAAGGCCAGGCCAAGGCCGAGGGCAGTGGCCGTGTCGCGGCACAAGGACGAGAAGGGCCGTGTCTCCATGCGGATCCACTCTGGGTTCGTGCACCACTTGGTAGCGAGGCCGATGGACCTGGGAGGAGAGCAAGGAAGAGAAACAAGTAGGTCAGGCAGGCAGAGGGGAACGAAATCACGCAGGGCATACCAGAAGTGGATAGGGAAAAGAACTTTCTTTCTGCCTCTCTCATAATACTGGAGCTCTGGGCCACCTAATGAACCTGAATGCTGGAAGATTCAGGGCAGGCAAAAACTTCTTTGCATAGTGCATAGAATAGCTTAATATTCTTTAAAATGTGTTTGTGGGAAGGGGGGTTGTTATGTACTGAGTTGGATAGGATCCAAAAGGCAGCAGTCTGATTGGTCCTAAAACAATAGGGTCCAGAATGTAGCAGTCTGATTGGTCCACAGGAGCCACCCAATCCAGCTCCAGGTGGAAGTGAATCCGCAACCTGATTGGCCTACAGGTGAATCCTGGAATTAGCCAATCACGTGGGGCCCATTGTGTAAATAATGTATATAAAGCAGACATCCTGGGGGAACTTCTATTCCTCCCACCACTATGAGCTGAATAAAGAGCATGAAATCCACTCTCGACTCCGAGTATATTTCGGGGGTTATTGTTTTGTTTTTGCTTTAACTCTTTAATTTTGTGCTTTTATCCTGTATTTTTAATCTTGCGAACCGCCCTGAAATCTTCGGGCAAAAGGCGCTATATAAATGTAATTGAAAATGATAAGAACCACTCTACAATTCTGTTTTACGATTCTGCAGTTTTTGGGACTACAACTCCCATCATTCCTAGCTAGCAGGACCAGTGGTCTGGGATGAAGGGAACTGTAGTCCAAAAACAGCTTTGGAGACCAGGTTAGGGATGTAACACTGATGTAAGGGAACCAGCACCTGGGATAGAACTTAAGAGATATCCTAAGATTTCTGAAGCCAGGAAACTTGGTATTGGAGGGTGTGTTGTGCTTGTCTTCATCTCCATTTTGAGAAGTCAAGCTAAGCTGACATTGTGGTGACTATAGCCATATTTTGGGACGTTTTGAGGGAAAGTATTTTTAAGAGGCAGGAGAAATGGAGCAGTGTGGGGCGTTTAGAAAACCAGCTATGTGACCCCAAAATCCACCCGCCACCAGCTATGCAGATGTCCTTTTGCTAGGCAGATTGCACCTCCATGCACAACGCCAATGAGATGAAGGTTAACATGCGCAGGAAGGGTGTGGAATGTAGAGTCGGAGGCACAAAACAGCAACCGCCATCGCTGGGGGGAAAAGGAGTCCATGTGGATAACCCTGCAGCCCAGTGTCCCGTCTCCCTGGCAGAAGGAACTCACCAGCTGAGATCTACGCCGAGAGCAACCAACGCCCAATAGGTCACGATGCCGCTTAGCAGGAGAGACAGCGA